TCCGTTGCTTCCATTCGTGCTTTCCCCTATGACAGGTTCTCTTTCCTGTTCATGGCTCTGCTCTGTCAGGTAGAAAGAGTTAAATAAGTTTATATCAGTAGGGTTTGTTTTTCTTCATTATTTTTCAGGACTCTGGAAGATTTTGCTAAAGCTGCCGTTATGTTGGTATGCAAGGGGTGATCAACTGGCTTCTTTGCCTGTGTCTGGCTACGTAAACCCATCCTAGGGCTCCAAAACGTGTGTAAATGTATGTGTGAAGGATGAGCTGTAGTCACTGACCAGCTTCCAGTCGGAGGCCTCCCGGGCTGCCTTCTTGGCGCTGGGAACGCGGAGCCGAGGCCCTTTCTCCATGGCTCCGGAGCCAGTTTGGCAGGCTCTGGGAGCGGACGGGAAGGAGTCGCTTGTTCTCCTGGATGTCATCGGGATGAAGCCGCACCAGGGAAGGCCGGCTGGGCTGGCTCGTTTTTTGGCTAAAGCAAAAACCTCAAAGCAAAATCTATTGCTCAGAGCATCCTTAGAGATGATGAAACTCGATTAAGGTTGCAGGTTCGCAGACCAATCAATGTCTAATTTTAGTCTGAAAATGTGTCTGAGAGGAGCTTGTTTTCCCAGGCAAGGCTGGCACAGAGAATGGAGATGGTGACTGCCGGGAGCTCTTCAGTTGTCAATTGTTGTCTGGAGAGCATCATTTCATACCTGCTCAGTAGGTCAGGGCCTGATTTTGGTCTGCCATCCTTAAAATAAGTAAGTAAATAAATAAAAGGAATAATGATGTCAAGCAGGGTGCTAATAGCAGCCCAAGCAACACCATCACGTCACTGCGTGATGTCAGAAGTTGATGCTCTTTCATAAACATTTAAGACTTCTTTTCATGTCAGTGATTTGCAGAGCAAATAAAATGAGTCCTGGGAAGGGCCTGACGCTCAGGCTTATCCTGGGTGTGGGAAAAAGTGCAGCATAGAGGGGTTTCCTGGCTGCAGGTGTTAGTCACCTTGTGTAAGGATCCTGTTGCCTGTCATGACAACCAGGGCCTCACCTCATGGCTTCTCTTCACCTACCTCCTTTTCTGTAACCTTTACTGCAAACAGTGTGGGACAGACTCCTGCCGTTTGACCTATTTGTGCAGGAGCCGGCGCTGCGGCGAAAGGACTCTCGGACCTTGTTGCATACACATAGTACGGGAGGGTTTTCTGTAATTTACCTGGTCCTTAACGGGAAAATCCAGTCTCCAAACGCCTCGTCTGCTTCTGGAAATAGCCCCTCGAGATCCCGGGGAATTAGTTTTTCCTTTCAGGCAGCCTGGCATGCTCGTGGCTTAGCAGCAAGTCTCAAGCAGAGCTATAGAAATCAATAGTGCGGAACCGAAAGGCTGCGGTGCGGTCATTAAAGCAGAAAACACTAATTGCTTCCTGCTTTTAGAGGTGCTGCTGTCGAATGCAAGAACCTTCTGTCAGTAATTGTGCTGGAAGCAGTGTGGAAAATACTTTGGTTTTGTCAAGATTGGGCCAAAGAGAACAGGTTTAGATTGGGACCACCTCTGAGCATGGTGTTTATCGTTGTGTTGTGTTCGTATTTCGGTTGTCCAGCTCTTGGGGACCTCTCCAGGATGGGAGCAATGTCTCATCTCCTGTTCTTCGCTTTGCTCCGTGTGGGTACGTGGTTATCCTGCAGGGTGAGTTGCAAGTCTGGGTTGCCTTGAGCCAGACCCATAGCAGGTGACTTGGCCAGAGCTAATTCTAAGATTAAAGTATGCAGAATTGGGAAATATGTTGTGGAAAAACTTCATCATCAGGCAGGGCAAATGGCCGAGAACACTGTTCATGGGATTTCCTTGGCATCTCATCTTGGCTGTCTGTGGCCCTTATGGAGTCCAGGCTCCTAGCAGCAGGAGCAGCAGAAAAAAAGGGAATTCATGGCTCCGGTCTCTTTTTTTCCCCTTTTTGTGCCCTGTTTTAGCTTAGGGCAGGAGCCCAACCTGCTTTGCACAGTACTGCAAAGGGAGGCCCTGGCGCCTGCGAGGCAAAGCCAAGAGTGGGAGGGAAGGTCCTTTTTAATAGCTGCTGTCAAAAGGTCATTTTACTGAGAGAAATGTCGTGAGAACTGCAAGGCGGGTAATTTTCAGGGTTTGGAGGAATGTTTGTCTTGCTGGAGATGGGAGTTCATGCCTTGCATGAAGCCCTGGGAGACGCTAGCAGGAAATGTTTGGTTTTTACTGACCTTATTTTCTGTTCCCTCCTTCCCAAGCGCGCGCTCCTTTTCAGAGCTCTGCTTGGTGCTTTCCAGCAATGTAACTTCACTAAGAAACAGTGACTGTCCGAGCTCTTTTCAGATCTGCCAGCGGGATAAGTGCAGAAGAAGAAACCTGGGCTGAGTTTAGGTGGTCTGTGCTGTCAGCAGCTACGTGCGTCTTGAAAGCAGGACTTGCAGGCCCTGAAAAAGCAGAAGTTTGGAGAAATGAGTTGTTATTAAATCGGGTGTTGTGGTGACCACTGGGCAAAGAGAGGCAGTGAGTCTGTATTACGAAGAAGGACTCATTAAACGAAAAGCTGCACTGTCAAAAGGTGCTGTACTTTTTAGCATGCTGCTTTTCCCCTTCTTTTTCACTCTTTTGCCATCTCCTTTTTCATTATTTGTTCAGTCTTCTCTAAGGTTTGCATTACTTTTTTTTCCTTTTCTGGCGACTCTGCAGCCTCTCCACTTCAAGCAGCCCAGGGATACACTCTGATATTATTTTTTTTCCCCTCAGTATCTTTCTTCTTTTATGACTCTAAAGATTCTTTCCATCCTGCATTGCAGCAGTCAAAGACTGAAGTGAATTTCCTGGTGAATTTCATCCCATTTTCCTGACAGTTTTCTACAGTCCATGAGGATTATTTGACTTTTCCTTCTGTCCTTCACCTAGCTGCAAAGCCTCCAAAGCTGCCTTATCAGGCCCCGTTAAAAGCGCGTTATCCCCTCCGGCATTTGTGTCTTTGGTGCAAACTGTGAGAGCGCTGGATGCCCAGGGCCCGCGCCGAGGTCGGGATGGAGCCCTCCTGGCTGACCATGACCCATGGATGGATGGATGGCTGCTCCGGCGGGATAGCTGTTCCTGTGGGATACCTGTTCCCATGGGATAGCTGCTCCCATGGGATGGCTGCCCCATCCTCTAGTCGTCTTCTCTCTTTCCAGCCCGTCATCCGGCTGTTATCCAGGCAGGCGAATGCTGCCTCTGGATCCAGCTGCGTGGGGACTCTGCTTTCCTAGGGAAGCAAAGAACTAGCCGAAAAGGAAGCACGCAGGTGTGTGGCCTGCTGTGCTCCTCGCCAATAATCATTCCAGGTGCCGGTTAATTGGTCACCCATTAACTCCGGGTGCCGGTGGATCCCGGCCGTGCCAGGCACCGCGTGGGCTGTGGGGATGGTGGGATGCGCCTGGCCGCCCACGCGCTTCCTGCGGCCCCGTCTGCACCCGACGGCCTCGCTGGCCTCGTGCCCTCGGCATCGCGAGCGGGGCATGAGCCCCACGGTGCTCGGGCCTGTCCTCATCCCGCTCCAGCGCCACGTGTTTCCTCAGAGCAGCTCCTCGGAGAGGCTCGCAGCCTGCAGCGCTGCACACGGTTTATTTATTAATATTATTAATATAGGAAATGGTGCGCAGGCCCCACGAGCCTCCCTGCAGCCCTGAAGAGCTTTCTGCACCGTGGGGAGGTGGCAGGGCCACCAGCCCCCTTCCGTCCTTGCTCAAGGAAGGGGCCTCATCTCCCAAAGATGAAACCTGTTGATTCGGGACTCACTTTGGGAGACAAGAAAGATTTGACCCAGTTTTGCTTCATTCAAAGTGATGGGGAAATGGATACCTTTTTTTTGAAGGCTGCTGTTTTTTAGCTTGTTTCTAGGCTTACATGATATTAGCCTTACTAGTGATAAAATTATACACTGCTTTCAAGGCAAAATGACGATAAGGAACGTTCTTTCAAAAGCAGCTAAACACATGAATTGCTAAAACGTTAAATTACTTCCAAATTACAGCATATCCGGCACTTTCTGAGTGCCTTATTAAGAATAATCGCACTGTGCTTTCTGCAGGATTTAGTATCAGAAATGTTATACAGCTGGAGTGGTTTTTTCTTTGTTTTTGTTTTCTAATCATTCTTTCACACAACGTGAGAGTTTCCCTGAGCTTTCCTTGCGCTGAAGGGTTGCCAGTTTGCCCCTTCCATATATTTTTGCTATACTGGCCTGCTGTGATGCTATTGCAGAGCAGAGCGCAGATGTTTAGGTGCCCAGGGGATGAAACGTGGCTGAGTTCAGGGACCAGAAGCTTCTCACCCAGCTGCAGAGCCAGAAAGGGGCAAGTTTTGCTAATGGGTCTAAGTGAGTAGATGTATTTATAAGTCTGTTTTTTTTCTCCCTCATTTTTCTCCCGACTATCAATTTTTGAGTGGATTTCGTCTCTATGCTGCTGAACTTGGAAATTAAGCTCTATGTGCATTAGGTCCAGAATTCGGCCGGACCTGAAAATGGTCTGTGCTTTACATCTTTATTACATATCATTGTTATTAGTGCATTAGCTGCAAGGACCAGGCGGGTAGGTGTAGCACACTGCTTGCTTTCCATCTGAGATCAATATATGAGGGTGCTCTTAAGCCACAAGCAAACCCATAGAAGATTCTTGTTGCTGAAACATGAAATATTGAGTATTTTGCATATGAGTCCTGTGGTCACTGCAATCAGAGGAAATTTTTGTATTGTAGCCTGAAGTTGCCTTTGCTTTCTTTGCTCTTTCCCGCTGGCCGGGCAGTGATTTACTACAGCTGGAGGGCCAAGTATTTTCTAATGGACATAGAGGATGAGGATGGCTCAGATGGGTATGAGGTTGGAGGGAAGGCCACTCCACTCACTGCTACGAGATTCCTTGACACTGCCAGCCCTGCCATTTAAAATATTATAGGTGGTAGTAACAGTCCTGTTCGTTCTTCTTCCCCAGCCCCGCGTGGCTTCGGCGTGCCAGCGTTTGAGATGTCCCTGAGGAGTGAGCGGCGGGTGGATACGTCGACGCTCAAGAGGATCGCTGCAGACATGAGCGCTATAATCGAGAGCCTGGACACGAGGGAGCTCCACTTCGACGGTGAGGAGGTGGATGCGGAGGTGCTGAGTGACCCGAAAGCTGCCGGTGAGTTAATGACCTGACGTCTTCACCATGGAGAAGTCCTTTCCCTGGTTGTCTGGGACGTGGACACTTCTGGAAATGTGGGATTGGGCCTTCACAGCAGCTTTTTAGCATGTACAGGCCCTGCAGCACTGTTAAAATCCCAACATGGTGCTGTTGACAGAATAACTTCGCTGGCTTCCAAGGAGACTCAGTTACTAAGCAGTCTAAGATGATCAGCAGCGCAGTATCTGTGGATTTTCCCACTTAGGAAATATTTACATTATGACCTTCAGTTCTGACTTATTGCTGGCAACTTCAAAGCCCTTTTTTTGTTTGTTTCTCATTTTCCCCCCTAAATTGCACAGTATTTCTACTGCATGTATTTTTTAGGGTTTTTTAATAGGCCATGAAAATGAGCTGCCATCACTTCTCTCCTATTTCCTCTACTGTGTAAGAGCAGAGTGGGCAGGCCTGGCTGCACAGGAGGGACGTCGGGCTCCCAGATGTGCCGCTGTGCCCAGGCAGGACTGGGACACTGGTGCTCCAAAAGTCCCAACAGGCTAGAGAGGAGGAAGGCTTAAACCCCTTGGCCTCATGACAGCTCAATTCCTTTCTTCTGCTTTTTTGCATGACTGTGCTTCAACACTAAGTTTTCACCTCCGTGTTGAGGACATGGCAGGGATAACTAACCTGGAGCGTGATGTTAAACTGTGAAACCGCAGTGATTTCTGCCCAGCCACTGATCCTGCTTTAGGCCCAGGAGACTTTATTCTTCGTGCTTGAACTCTTCAAGTCAAATCACTTCTTTAAGCTCCCTTATGGAGGTTTAAATAAAACCTGGTGTAGTAAAAATAAACACACAATGCTCTAAAGTATTCCACTGGCTTCTGGCTTTTATGTCTTTGCTGATCGTTTAAAACACCGTTAAGCTAACAGGGATTTTATGATCTTTTTTTTTTTTAGTGAGCATTCCATTCTCTGCAATTTATCACACACGTGGATTCAGAGAGCCAGATATACAGACGTATCTCAAGGGCTGCCCTATCAGAGTGCGTGTGCTGGAAGTTGAACGTTTTACTTCAACAAGAAAGGTCAGAATCTACACTCAAAGAAATAGAATTTGATGTCCCTAGAACTATATTAAAGTGGGCTAAAAAAACAGCTATGGGCTAAAATAAAGTTATAGGCTAATTTTGTGTGTATCTGTTCAGGAGGTCAGGAAGAAGGAGTCTCAGAAAAGCGCTCAAAATGTTTCCTGTCCTTTTAAAAGTCTAATAAAACAGAGAAGAATAAAGAAATTGTAAGAAGTTCCATAAGTAAAATACAGTGAGGAATCTGTAGATGATCTACTGCTAGAAAACCGCTGGTTTCACAGCTGGAATGCTTGTGTTACTCTCTTGTGCAGGTACCAAGTCCAAATGTTTACACTATTGAGTTAACACACGGAGAATTCACATGGCAAGTGAAAAGGAAGTTCAAGCACTTTCAGGAATTTCACAGGGAGCTGCTGAGGTACAAGGCGTTTATGCGGATCCCAATTCCAACACGGAGGTGAGTGTGCAGCCCTGCAGCTGGCAGCATTCTGGAAAGATGCAATTTTCTTTTTTTCCTTTATATTTGTTTTCCCTTATTCCATCCATATTGATTTAGTGCCAGTGATCCTACTCACTTCTACGTAAGTAGGAAGCGAATGGAGGAAAAGAGTTTATTGCAGTCTCTGTAGAGTTAACAGCCATAATCCAAATTACAGAATCACTCTGCTGACTCAGGGCCCCTGGCTCACCAGCTTTGAGCAGAAGTTCCCTTAAATCAGGGAGGAGTTGTGCTGTTGCTAATGGAAACTGGTGGCATAACATGGCTTTCTGCCAGGATGGGCCAGATGTGGGAGACACAGACGTCTGTGCTGTGCAGCAGGCCCTTGATGTCCTGGGGCAGTCTGAGGTGTTTGGGAAGAGGTCACACGTGGAAAGAGGCCTGGGGCTCCACCACCACTCTTGCTGGGTGGATACAGGACACGGGGAAAGGTAAAATTATAAAGGGTTAAGGACTACTGGAGCATAATGTTCTAAGAAGAGGATTTAGATTCTGTTTCCTTAAAAGGGTGAAAGCAGATCTGTGTCCTGTGGGTTTTTCTGAGTTGTATTTTTGTTTGTAAGCTGGTTAGAAGACTAATTTCTGAATGCTTCCTGCCCACTTATCTCTTGGTTTTTAGGAGTTTAAATGGAGTAAATAAAAGCATCAAGCAAGAAGAGTTACATATCAAGGAACATACTGGCTCTAGGTGATTATAAATTGGCTTTTTGTTCTGTTTTTTTCTCCCAGTCACACAGTAAGAAGACAATCTATCAAAAGGGGAGAACAACGGCAGATGCCAAGCCTGCCGCCTACCTCGGAGAGCACGGTCCGAGAGGAGCACTTCTCCAGCAGGAGGGTAAGCATCCCTCCAGGGCTGTCCAGGTCCTCGCTTAATTACCATTATATTATTTTGCTTGACAAATAAACTCTGCAAAACCCAACTCTGAGGTCAGGCTCTCCTGCATGCAAGGAGGACACACTCACAGGGTCAGTATGGGCAAAGACTCCCTCTGCAGTAGAGGAAAGCAAAGATGCACAGAGGGCAGTTTCTCTGCTCCGACCTGCTCCAGGTTAAACACAGAATTTACAGCTCACAGAGTCAGGTTGCATGGTGGAGGCAGCGCAGTGGCCATCAAAATCTGAGAGATTTCAGTCCTGTCCTCCTCTGAAAGAGGAGATGACAATCAGGCTTTTAATTATGATATGGGTAATTCTAGATGAGGCCCATGTGCTGTATGAAATTGTATCACGTTAACAGATGCATCCTTGTATGAAGAGTGTAGCTTCTTCCTTGCAGCTTTACTATTTGCAAAATGATTCTGTAAAAAGATGTTCTTTTATCCTGTGCTTGCCATTTCCAGAAAAGGACATCCCTGTTGTTAACTCCCTTCATGATCTTCATTCTGTGAAATTGCACGTCCTGAAAGGTTGTGTCTCCTAGTTGTACAGTGCAGGATAATCTGCCCTTCTGAGCAATGCTTGGCTATTGTGCAAGAGTTTCAGGAGAGAGATGATTATTTAAAATAGGAGAAAAAAAAGAGCTAGCTAGATCCTTTTCTTTTTGGTTTCCTTTTTCATGCTCTCTTCCCCCCAAAACATACACTGTCTTTATCCATGGGGCTATATATCACTGCTTCCCACCCGAATGCAGTATTGTCGTGCTAACACTCAGACAGAAAAGTCCTGTTTTAATTTATTTTTCTTTTTGCCTCATTTCCTCAGACACCCAATTTACTTTTGGGACAGGAGGCAGCTTCTGCTTGCCACTGCTGTGAGTTAAATCACGTGTTTTCATTCCAGAGCTGAGCCTGCAGCCATCCTGTTCCCCAGATGCAAAGAGTTTAATCTCTTCTTTGCCCAGTTCCCACGAGGATAGGGAAGAATCTCTTTCCTGTGACGGTTTCTTTTCTTCCCTGCTGCAAATAGGGGGGCAGGTCTTCCAGTGCCCATTCTCTGTGGCTTTAGGACAGGGGAGAGCAGTAGCTGCACTCTCCATGTCATCCTGGGATCTGCCATTCTGCTTCAGCAGACTCTCACTTGTGTCTGTGTTTTCTCACAGAGGTGACTTGTGTGGGCCAGAAACAGCAGGGCCTGATTTTATATTTAAAGTCACTCTGAAGGTTGGACTCAGTCAGGATAATAGCCTTCTAAAATTACAATGCAAAGCAACAGGTCAGCTGATGCAACAGATTACAAACTCAAATCTGTGAACAGTAAACAATGTATAATCCAGCCATTTCTGCCACTGAGTAATAATCTTCAGTAAGAACATAATAATATGTTTATCCTTTCAAGCTGAAAAGTGTTTCTGATCTCTTGATAACCTTTTAATGCTAGATAGTTAATTTTTTTTCTTCAAAATTCTGCATCCTAGCTCAAGTTCTGCATGTTTTAATTATAGAAACAGCTGGAAGACTACTTGACAAACATCTTGAAAATGCCAATGTACAGAAACTACCATGGAACAGTAAGTACAAATTAGAATGGCTTAAGTAGCGGAAGAATATCCTCTTTTGTTACAATGTTGAACTGGTGACAAGTCAGTTGAAGTCTTGCAGCTTTTTCTCTAACATATCAGAAACGTTTCAGACATTTTGCAGATATTTTGCAGGCTCAACTGGTTTCTCCAGTGGGGATGTAATATCATTTAAAGTTAAAGGAACAGAGTGACTGGCTCAGACTGGAACCATTTGAAAGTCACTATTACAATACTGTGATAACCTGCAAAAAGTGGTTCCATCAAAAGAGCTAGTTGAACATATAACGTTAAGTTCTGGGTAGTGTTTAAGATGATAAACTGGTGTTTTAAGTACTTGAATAATAAGAGTCCAGACCATACAGGCGACCTTTCCTTCATTTTGGGATTTGTGTGTGATCCTGGGGTGGATCCAATTTCAATGGATGTGACTCATGTTGAATTTCTATGGATGATACCCACTTACTTCTGGGTGTATTTTATCATTTCCAAACAGCAAAGATAATTGATTATTCTCCCAAATGCATGGTTTTATTTGAAGTGATGTCAGATACATCTTTTGGCCTATTCTAAGCAAAAATATTTGTTTTGAAAGCCATCCTTAAATATTTCTTCAATATCCCTCACCTATCAACTGAAGCTGTAACATCTCCCTTGGGACGGTAATTCATTTCCCATTTTGTTGACTGCTTAATGACTGTACTACTCATCTTCTTGTATTATCAGTAAAACCTGATGCATTTGGGTAGCTGCAGAACTGAAGTGAAACTTCTGAATCAAATGTGATAATTGGGAGCACTTAGTTTGAAAACAATTGAGAAATCCAGACTAAGCTTTGGATATCTAAAGTAGCCAGTTCTTATTTATTTATTTGTTTGCTTGTTCACTAGAAATTCTGTTCTTCAAGTCTCAGGCAAGATTTCTGTTGTGCAGACACGTTGGACTGCTTTTTGCTGGTAGTTACTCTCTAATTCTGTGTGTACTCTTGTTTTAAAGCTCAGTGTGTTGAACATTGTTAGTTATATGAGATAATCTCCTCACCCAGTATTGGCCAATGTGCTTTGTGCTGCAAAGAAAAAGCCTTCAGACTCAGACTGAGAGGAACTGTTTTTCTTACAGAGTGGTTCTTTGGGGGACTGGCTACAAAGCAGCTCTTCTAACTTTAAGTACAGTCCAGTCAAGAGTGGTGTTAATCTGCATGAGGAAAATAATCATCTTTTGTTCTCAAGGCAGGACAGAAGTAACTTGGCACTTTGGATCAGTGGCAAAGCAAGGCTCAGTTTACCATGTAGATGCATCTTGTCACTCTTGGGCAGCGTTGCTTTTTCAGATATTTCTGGCAGTTTCTACTAGAAAAAATAAAATACTGTTGCTCTTTTGATTGGGTTGTGGTCGGAAGCAATCTGTGGCCATTGGGAAGGAGGAGGCGAGGAGCAAACCTGCGTTCCCTGCGCGCTGGCTCCGGAGCAGCTGTGGGCCCCTTGCCCTCAATCGCCTTCTGTCCCCGGCCCTGGAGCCAGATGTCACTTTGCACATAAATTCTGCATTTATCCCTTGTCTTGGCGTTGGCTGCAGTGAAGCAGCTAGTGAGAACTTTGCTGCTAATGCCAGCTGTGCTGCCAAGAGTAGCAGGTCCCACAGTTGATGCTAAAAGAAAGTGCATGGAGCAAGATATTTTCTCTCTGAGAGACAGGGCAGCAGGGAGGTAACCACATTCTCCAACTATGGACTAAAATACTGAACTGCAGATTTCTGGTGTTTTCCTTGGGACAATGTTTGTCCTCCTTAGCTCAAAATGAGCATGTTGCTCTTCTTGTGGTGAGAAGTCTGCTGCCCGGGTGCTGGCAAATGCTTTAGTTGTTTTAATCTTGAAGCATAATCTGACTCCTGCCTCCCCCTCTCATGAAATCTGTGCACCAAGGTTTTGGTTAAACCCTAAATTCTTTGGGAATTTGGACATGGACACAAGCAGAATTACAACGGCAAGATGACCCCCGTTATGTATATAACTGTGTGTCCTTCAGGGACATTTTAAAGCTGACCCACACAGTTAATTCTTTTGTATTTGTGTTTTTTTTTTTTTTTTTGTCAGTAGGAGATCATGAAATTATGTACCGTCTCTTCATGGACATGACACTCTGGAAGAGTTTTAGGCTGGAAATGTTTTGCAGACCTGAAATCCTTGGTGGGTTAAGAATCACTTAAGGACTGTGTAGCTTTTGAGAGATTATTCATATGGCCTGTCTAGATGACTCTCCTGCAGTCTGTGAAAATGGGCTGTACTTGAGCATCATCATTCAGAGATGGAACAGGTGTCCCCTGTTTTGGCTATTTAGCTGTGAATGGTAAAATTTACTACCTTCTGTTCGTGTTTCCCTTAATTTGTCCTCATCATTGCAACATATTCTTTCACATGGAGTTCACAAAACAGGATTATAGATGTGTTATATTTTGTCATCGGAACCTAGACTTTAGAACCTTTCTTTCTTTTCTTTTTTTTCCCTTCCTTTTTGGCTATGTGAATTGTGATTAAATCTCACGTCTTCTAGTCCAAGCCTTTTTTACAGTAATTTTGTGCTAACGTATTCAAGACAATTACCATCCAAATGAATGTTGTGGAATCTAAATGTGTTAATTGTCCACACTTACTCTGGGAATTGGAAATTGGGGGAATGTAGTCCAAATACATAAGGAAATTGTTCTCATGGCCTTGTGCTCATGGGCTGTATTCAGTGCAGATGAATTGTGCCGTAGCAGCGGTTTGTGTGTGAGCAGCAGTAGCTGAAAGATGCTTAAACCAAATCAAAAACAGCTTCTGGCTGAAGCGCAGGATGTGTAAGTTTATGAAATTTTCTGTGATCTTTATGAAATGAACCCAAAAGCCTCATTTGGAGTAAAAGCAGTGTAAGAACAACAGGGACACAAACGTGTGGCTGCTGCTTTGCCTGTGATGCTGCAGCTGGGCCTGCAGACCGTTGCAGAGACCCCCTCCGTGTTTTTGGTTATTGGATTAGGACTTTATCATGCTGAATATCTCTTAAATTTGGGATCAGGATAGCCGCTTCTATCTGTAAGGAAGAGCTGGCAACTTGTCACTGAACACTATCCTGAACAGTGCTGCAGTTTTATTTTATTTTGTTCCTGACACAGCTGCCATTCAAGTGCTTGTTTAGGTGTTTTTTTATGTTATTGTTTTTGTTTGCTTTTTAACTGCTGAGTTCAAAGTAAGAAGTGAAGCAATAAATAAAGCATTGTGGAGCTGCTGTTTTTTTCCCCTGAAATGCAGCTGCTTTGTGAGAGTTTTGCTTAAATAAATCATGCATGCCTTGCATTGCTGACAGAATGTGATGGCTTAAAATTGCAGCTCATCCACCTTGCAGCTGGTTCTCCACCTCTCCTAGCTTATCTTTCTTCAGCTGATCATTCGTGTCTATTTTTTTTTATTGCTACAACAATGTCATTGAAACTGCATTCTCTAGCCCCATATCTCATCCTCAAAATATTCAGCTGCAGCTCACTTTGAAACCAGAGTGGGATGTCCTCTCAGCAGGGAGGCAGCTGGGCAGCACAGGAATTCAGATGTGAAAGAGATGAAAGTGCATCACCATTCTCCATTCCTCTGTCTTTTTTTGTGTGTGTGTGTGAATTATAAGCACCTCAGATGACAGACAGCATAGCGGTATAAATAGCAGTAATAATAATAATAAATGACTTAATCAGATACTTTCCAATGCACTGAGGGATTTTCCTCGTAACCGATAGAATCTTTTTGCAAACCAGACCCCAAATGTGCTCACTGCTCTGCATATGAATAGTCTCCTTGGAGTACGTGTGCCCGTTTGCACGAGTGAAGAGAAACACACAAGTAAGATTTCATTTTCTTTTGCAGTCGAGCCACAGAAGCACATGACAGGGGAGGTGGGGACACCCCAGGAGCGTGGCCACCGCCGAGGCCCTGCACACCATGGAGCCTGGAGTGACGGGTTTAATTGGCTCCTCTCAGTCACCCCAATAAATAGGATGTGTGTTGGATAGTGTCCCTGGTGCCACAGTCACCGTTTTAAAGACTCATTTGCTGAAGGAAAGGTTACTGCACCAGCAGACAATTTTTCGTTTTTTTCTGTTATTTTTTCATGCAGTAGTAGCTCTGTTTCTGTGAGCAATTCTCCCCTTCTCTTCCTGGATTTTCTTCTCCTCCTTCACAGCCAGTTATTTCACTGCATGTGGTGCTCCACAAATTGCCGCCCTGTTTCTGTTGACAGCAAATGTTTTCAAGGAAAAACCCTGTTTGTGTGCAGGGTTTTGTTTGTGTCCAGCATGAGAGATAGGTCCAGTGTTGTGAGTTTTCTCTGATGGTGGATGCCAGGATGATCCGAATCCGAGCGTCATCCTCAGAAACAGATGACACGTTCGTCAGGCAGGACTGCTGCTTTTCCAGAACATACAGTGAGAAACAGTGATATCAAGACAGTTAGTAAAAGGAAGGAAATAATTTGTTCTAGCCACTTTCTGAAAACACACTGAAATTGCCAAAGAATGAGGGCATAAATTCGTTTCTACTAAGTAGAGGTTACTCTGTATCCTTGAGCTGCTTGCAGGAGAACAACAGATTCTTTGTTCTTCCCTGTGACCTTATTGATGTGGTTTGGGTAGGTCCCAGAAGGTGCAGAGCCTGAGGAGAAAGAAGGATCTTTCCCTCTCTCCCACCCTGTGGAAGCAGAGGGAGAACAATATGCCTGGAGAAGACCTGAGCCTCTCAGGGTAACTGCAGAGTAGGCTTCTGTCCCGGATTTGCCTACATTTTTTGTTATTTTTAGTATTTGAAGCCTCTCTGAGGCTGTTTTTTCCACCTATGTAATTGCCGTGCAAGACTGGAATTTGCCAAAGATAGTTTTGAGTCTGGTTTGTCAGGAAGCAGGTGAGAGCAGCCGCTTGGGAAGAAAGGCCTTGCCTGGGACAGAAGACGGTGCTGGGATCGAAGCTCCCGTGGGCTCGGGCAGGTAGGGACAGAGGCCGGGGGGCCTGTGCTCTGCCAATTGCCCGTCCCGCTCAGTTACTGTCACCAAGGTGGATCCAGTCCTGGACTTCGGTCCTGGCAACCTCGCCTGGCAAACGGCTTATTTAGACTGTTCCCTTTAGCTTTCTTACCTTGATCAGCACGGAAGAGGAGTCCCTGCACTCACCCTGCCCTCTCTTGAGCGTCTCTCTGCACTTTGGCCCTTTTACGTGATGAAAAGTTAAAGGGGCAGTTGCGTGAGCGCGGGCAGCCCTTAGCCCGTGAGGGAGGCCGCTCTCCCTGCTGCTCCGGGACGTGCAGCCGGGGCCGTTCTCCCTGCCAGCAGGGCCCTGGCTAACGAGCAGCCGAGCGTGGGGAATGTCCAGCAGAGCGTGGGGAATGTCCCGCCGTGCCAAGGAGGGCTGGCCGGGCCAAGCCGCCCGGCATCCTATCTTTGGATTCCGATGGCATCATCACTCAGTCACTCGCGTTGCTCATCTCTAGATTCCTCCGTAATCTAAGCTGATAAGTGAAACTGTAAGGTCTGTTTAATTGAATTTGAGACGTATTGGTTAAACCTTCATACTGTAGGCAGTTTCCTCAAGCTGTGCCTGTGCAGTGGCTCCAGCCCTTGCTCACCTCGTGTGCCTGATGCAGACTGCAGCGGCCACGAGGTGCTCACGCCGTGTTGGCCCCATGTTGGCACATGTTGGGACTTGCAGGGATTTCTTGGTTCAGCGTGGCACGTGGGGGCTGCATTGCAGGAGCACCTCCATGCAGAGAGTGTCTGTGGTGGCCCTCGGGGACAAGATGCGGTGCTGCAGGGCTCACCATGGAGGGACAGGGGCAGCCGTGGTGGCCGGTCGTTTGGACATGGTGGGAAGCTGGGAATCATCACATGCTGGCTTGGCGGTATGGGAGGTGTCTGCCTTTAACGAGCAGTTAGCAATTTTGCCAGGCTTCCAGCTCCACGTGAGGTTCACTAATGCAGGAGAGGGCTGATTCAGCCAGCTAAGTGCCTGTAGGTCACTAAGCAGTGTCAATTCTGATTCCTGTTTTGAGCCAGTGACCCCGAGAAGGAAGATACGAGTGGGTCCTTGTTGCTGTTTAATCTTGGTTGTGCTGGTTCTCTGAAATGCCAGAGCGCATAAAAAATACTTTTCTTGCTCTTGTTACAGAGGCTTAAACTTTGCTGGATAACTTCAGTGAGACTTCTGTGCAGGTTCTGTCTTGTGACATGCCACTTCCACGGAGCAAAGTGTTTTGTGGGTTTCTAACTATGAAGGATGGGGGAAATCCTTATGCCTTTTATTTTTTTCCCTCCAGATGGAGTTCATTGGCGTAAGTCAGCTCTCCTTCATCCATGACCTAGGACCAAAGGGCATGTAAGTTTTGATTTGATTCCTTCTCCGTTTATGCAGAATGTGGTTTTATAAACAAATATTGTCCAAACCGAGAATTTTCCGTTCTTACTGGCAGTTGACTAGATTGTCATCTACATGCCAAAATATATTGATGTTCAGGTAGAAATGCTACAACTTTGGGAATTAATCATGACCATCAAAGGCAGAGGAGCTTTCCCAAAACCACGTTCACCCTGGAGTTACTCCCTGGCTGGTCCCAGCGGTGCTGCAGTGGGAATCAGGGGACATGTGATTTTGTCAGAGTTTTCTTCGAGGTGCCCTGGGGTTACAGTCGGTGCTAGGGCAAGGCTGTAGCGCAGGGTGGCTCAGGATGATTTCAGTGCACCGACTGTAGAGGTGTGGAGACCCTTCCCTTCTGCCCAGCCTCTCCGTGTTTTGCAGCAGAGCTGTCTGCAGCGGCGCCCGCAGCACGGGCTCGCCCCTGACCCCTCTCTGAGAGGCTCCTTCCTTGTTTGCCTACTAGATACCACTCCAAAGTGTCCAGCCCCACCAGACGCGCTGCCAGGCTCTGCCTTCCCCAGCTGAATTGCAAGCAGAGCCTTTCTCTTAAATGCTCTGTGGCTGACAGTGGTGGTAAAATCGCGGTTTTGCTGGTGTGTTGGGTTTCGCTGTAGAACTGCTCAAAGGTTACATTGAGACGGGGTATTTCCTGGGAGAAGGAAGAGGGAAAAAGGTGGACGTGTAGGAGAAGGGGCTCTAGTTGTGCAGGATGGAGTCTGTGAGTTGAGCTCACCACCCAGGCCAAGGGCTTCTCCCCTTCCCCTCGCACAGCCGGTCTCTCAGCAATGACGGGGTTGTTGTATAGCTGTGCTACATAGCAGTGCCCATGTATGGTTTTAAAAAAACATGCCAAGTTTGGCTTTGGAGAGCCTTCCTTTCAACCTTGGTGGGGTCTGTGGTCTGGCAACCAGCCCCACAGCGGGGTGGCTGCTGAGGCCCAGCTGGAGGCCAGTGCCCTGGAGGGCAGGGGAGGCCGAGGCCGGGGGCGCTGCTCGGGGCGCTCGCTCTGATGGGGAAGCGGCCTCAGGGTGGCAGAAGGCACCCGTTGGCAGAGCCTGGAGGGATCCAGTGAGCGAGCACAGATCTGGGCATGCCCTGGCCCCAGGGAGCCCAGCGCAGGCAGCAGCCGCAGCGTCCCGCGAGCCCTTTCCCCCCATCTTTACCAGATTCCTGCTTGTTTCAGAGAAGGTTTGATCATGAAACGCTCCGGGGGGCACCGAATACCTGGCCTGAACTGCTGCGGCCAAGGAAGGATGTGCTATCGATGGTCCAAAAGGTACTGCTGCGGGCTGGGGAGAGGGGTGGGGGGTTTGTGCTCCCCAGACACATGTATAAAAATCCACATTTATCGTTTTCTCCCAAAGACATCTGCAAGTAAAATTCTTTCTCTGTTACAAAAAGCTACAGGCCTTCAGGTGAAAAGAGACCACAGATTAATCCCCTGCTGTGCAGATGCTGGGTTTTTTCTTTTGCATTAGGATTCATAGCAGAACCAGGTACATTGTTCCCGGGGAGACATGGGACTTACAGCCAGAGGCTGGCAGAAAGCGAAATAATCACCTGATTTGTTTGCAGCTTTCTGTGCTGTCCGTATGCCAAAGGAATCTGCACCTTTGGGAGGGGAAGAGGAGAATTTTCTAGCCATATTTCAGCTTAGTTTTCTGAGCTTGCCTTCCTTGATTTGCAAAGAGAAAATCAATTAATTGAAACATAGCTGGGTGGCTTCAAAGCTCCATTAAATCAGACGTGAGCCACAGCAGTAAGGAGCTCTGCTTGGTGCAGTTAACCTTGAATTAAATATGTCGCCTCATTCTGTTGCCACGTGTCTCAAACACCACTGTTTTTATGGAAGTTACGCCACTGTTTTTATGGAAGTTTTCGTAGCCAGCCTCCTTGTGTCCCTTCCCGTTGCAGGCTGATGCAGCTCAGCCCTCGTGTCCTGCAGCAGCGGAGCCGATGGCTCCAGCCTGGCCTGGCCGCCGCTGGAGCGCGGCCGCTGCCAAGTGGGAGCGCCGGGATGCGGCGGGCCGGGGCTGCCGGAGTCAGGGCGGCCTCCCTGGCGAGCAAGGACGTTTCCACCCAAAGCAAAGAGTTTCCTCTGCCAAAGCTAAAGATTGTGTTGGGACCACTGCATTTTGCTGCGTTTGTGTGGAAAATCCCTTGGGCTTTTCCACAAATGCCTCCTCTGGCAGCAAAGCTGATAACCTGGGCTACATTTAGCTCTATCCCGGGGCTGCAGTGTAAGGGGGAGCTGTGGGGGAACATGCATTTGCATCGAATCTTCCTCTCTTAAAAGCATGGAAGAATTTTCCATGCACTAACAAACCTGGTATCTGTTACCTTTCAAAGGTCTATGCATTTCGCTGACTGCTTTTCATTATCTTTGCATTTTATTTTGTTCCAACTTCCAAACTGATAACTGTATGGTAGAGAATCCGACTGATTCTCGTGGTGTTAGACGAGCTCCTCGTTCTCTCTGTGAAAGGATTCTGCACTTTATTTCTCCATGCTGCTAGTTATTGGGCAGATCTTTCCTATTCAACATGCAAATAGCACATATTTGCCTTTTAGTAATAATCTCTTTGTCTGAGAGAGCTTCCCAAGTCAGTAACCACCATGCAATTCCAGCATTGTGGAACCATGATGGGCTCCATGTGGGTAGCTTAACTTTATTTTAAAAATCGCTGCTTTCCTGTAAAACGTTACACTATTTATGTGAAGAGACATTTTGTTGTTTTTATCCCCACCATTTCTAAATACATTTTTACAGAGGTCTTCTGGGGCGATTACACAGAGATAAAGATTAGACTCGGAAGACCAAGTCCATTTTTTTTTCCTCCTTTACAGAACTTTGCCTGTTTCTCTTGGTGTTAACTCTTCATCGTGCTGTGCAGAGACGGAGCCTTTTGGAGGACACTCACATGTTCTGCTCTGTGTTGGATCTGGTTTCCCTCATTCCATTTTCGTCCTCTGAAGGAGAAATCTCTGGAGTGAGATTCTCGCTTAGCAATGTGTGCAGAGTGAATAACACAAGAGGGCACTGAATCCCCAACCACAGCCTGCAGGGACCAGTAGAATATGTGCACCAATAAGTAAAAAGGGACAATAATATTGCCAAGAGAAGATTCTTGAAGTTCTGAAGGATTTCAGGCAAAGGCTAATTTTATATTTTTTACAAATAATCTGACATATTTCTGAAACTATACAACTTCAGAGCTTATGCTGAGCAAGAGGAGAAAAACAATAACAAAAAAGTAGTGTTTATAGGGGGAGCATATCTGCGTGTAACTTGCTAAGTCAGGACGTTGTTGGTTTTGGAATCGCTTTTCCAAACGTGGTGGGGACACTGAAGACCGAGGTGCAGGCTCTCGGCTTTGCACACACGTCCTTGCAGGCTGCAGCCCTCCTCAGCCTGCCCTCTCCTTAGACCAGTCCCTTGTTTGTCCCTTTGCACCAAAACCTGCCCTGGCCCCGCACGCGGAGCCGAGTCCTTCAGCCACCGGTGCCAAGTGCTTTGTGGTCCCTTGGTTTTTGGTGTCATTATGGAGCACCAGGCTGGCCTTGAGTGCCCTGCAGGGCCCTGGTTCAGCGGGAGCGATTTTCCACACCCCGAGTTCACCCTACTTATTCCAGAGACCGTGTGTGCGCTCAGCACGGAGAAGCAGAGCAGGGATTGTTTGGAAACGGGGAGATTTGGGACTGAAAGATCAGGCAGGTCAGGTGGAGGGGGAGCAGTTTGGCTCCGGAGGAGAGACGCTGCTGGCATTGCTCAGAAGGGGCCCTGAAAGGAAAGAGAAATAACGGGGTCTGGAGATAAATGAGAAGCTGGGTCGGTTATAAAAGGTACAAGAATTAATACATTTCTGTAGCCTTTTCCTTTGTGAGTCCCAGAGCATGCACAAGAATTAGGCCGAGGTCCCAGGGCAGAGGCCCGTGTGGGACAGAGGGTCAGGTCACCTCAGCTACACACAAGAGGGAGAAAAATTGGAGAGGCCGTTCCCAGGGAAAATGAATTTTCCCCAGGGTTGCCTTAAGGCTGTGGTATCCGTGTAAAACCTGCCGGTCATCTCCTGTCACACGTTTCTAACAGGATGCTGTTGCTTGGCAATAACAGCTTTCCAAAGTAGCTCGTTCATATGTTCTGATTGGACTAAGTGATCCCAGCTTCTTAATTAACGCTGGCAAAATCAGGTGGCCCCCACGTTGCCGCTAGGTATCGCTTACAACCCAAATAATGATGTGGGTTGAAGGAATCCTTGTTGCACCTCGCCTGTTACCCACCCCCTGGCTCCTGAGTGAAGCTGTGGACAGGATCCGTCACATTTTTCCATTGGATTCCAGAGCCTATACTTGCCAAGGCTTCCATAAGAGGTCGTCATGCAAGTCATTTCAGAAAGCTGTTATTGAATTTAGGCTTATCATCATTCAAATGTGCTGAATAGTCACGTGTGTGTTTCTGTTTCTCGTAGATAATCAGATGTAGCTTGTTTTTATACTGCAGTAAATTCATCATTCACCTCAGTGATCTTGTTTCTTTGCTTCTTTTCTATATAATAGGCCTAAATGTTGCTCTTTATACCATACTCCAAACACAGTCATTTTCCATTGTAGCTAAACACTTTCTTTCTCTAATACAGATGCTGGTAGTAAATGATTTGCTGTTCTTTCAAAGGGTGAACTTTTCACTTTTGTTTTGAAGAACAGCCTGAATGAAGCAGTTGTGCCTTCGTCTCCCCTTGCAGGTGGCTGGTAGTGAAAGAATCCTTCCTGCTGTACATGAAGCCAGACACTGGGGCCATTGCCTTCGTCTTGCTGGTAGATAAAGAATTCAACATAAAGATAGGCCAGAAAGAAACGGAAACGAAATATGGGTTGCAGATCGACAATCTCTCTAGGTAAGAAATACAGATTTGTAGACCCTTTTTTTTATATTCAATTTCTCAAAAAAAGAAATAAATTGCTTATTTCCAGGAAGCGTTAACAAGGTGCCCCTGTCTGAGCAAGTGAGAGAATGCAGTTGAGTTTCAGAAGGTTTCAGCACCTGTCCATGCCCTGAGGTGGAGGAGGGTCCCGGCAGGAGGGTCCCCCTGTCCCTGTGCTGTCACTGGAGCATTTCTGTAGTCAGTTGTGGACGTTTGGAGTTGAGGCTGCTGCAGGTTCATCCAGGCAGTTGTTCCTGAGGAGCGGGAGGCAGGTGCCTGTTCAGTTGCACTTTGTTTTTGCAGCAATTACTTACCGTAATTTTTTAGCCTCTGTTCTTTTCTGCTACAAGCAGGAGTGTATTACTCAAAGTCACAACTGGAGCATTGCACAAAAAATATGCTAATTGGGATAAAAACATATTTTTCATGGTAAAACAACCTTTTTTTTTAAATACAGCCTTAGCTGTGTCCTTTTCTTACACTTAGGATGATTCTGTTAATTTGATTAGAATCTATTTTATACTTGGCAGGCTGCAGGGTTATATGGCAGTCACTCAGAGTGGCCAAGTGTTGATACATTCTTTTGGAAATAACAAAGCACAGTCTCTTGCTCCTCCTTAACTTTTGCTTAAATAAAGCATGAGTGATGCAGGTGTGCTTATCTACATATGCAGACAGCGAGAAGAAAGCCGATGTGCCCCAGCAGCCTTCCTCATGCATCATTTGTTTTACAGGTCGCTGATTTTGAAGTGTAACAGCTACAGGCATGCCCAGTGGTGGAGACAGGGAATAGATGAGTTCATTCGGAAAAATGGCAAGAACTTCCTAACGGAGCACAGATTTGGGTCCTACGCAGCCGTGCAAGAGAACACCCTGGCAAAGTGGTAAGACGGGGAGTACTGGAGTAAGAGTGCTGCAGTCTTTCCTGGTTTTGCTCACCTGTGACCAACAGCCTAGTCACATCCTTCACATTTTAAAATCCAAGATACGTCCAGCAAGCAGCATTTGCAAGGCTGATTTTCATTCTGTAATGCAGTATTGCCCTTTCGGGCCCCACAGATGTGTTCAGATGCAAATGTCACTCGTGGCTGAGTAGCAGCATCAGATTCTGGCCTTGCAGGCTGGCTTTGCAATGCAAGAGAATCAGCAGATGCAAATTTAGGCATAGTCTAAAGTTACCTTGGCTTTATGCAAGTGACCCTGCCTTGTGTAGTGCCAGCAGGTTGCACTATGCCGTTCCCAGGAGCACCTCAAAAAATGAATTCTGTTGGGATGAAACATGAGCAATACTGGTGCTGTTATTGCAGCTTCTGTCCCGCAGCCTTCCACGGCTCAGGAAGTTTCCATAACTCAAAGCTAACCCTCTGGCACCGTCCTCTTCTGAGAGCCAGAAGCAACTCCGCCGTTAAGCGAAGCCCCATGGAGTATTTTGTGGGGTGGTCGGAATTCCAAGGGGCCCTTAATAATCCCTTGGTGTGCTGCTCCATTAGGATACTGATGGCAGTATCCTAATGATGAAATCCTCCCTGTATGTTGTCCAGATTCCTGAAATTAGGTTTGTTTTTCCTTTTGAGAAGAGAATGTAAACAGCATTAAGGTAGAACCCTGTCCGCCTGCAACTCTGAACTTTCTGTTTTGATTAAGGGCAAGGAAAAATAAGTCCGTGCACTTCGTTTGCTTTTACAGGTATGTAAACGCTAAGTGGTACTTCGAAGATGTTGCAAATGCCATGGAAGCAGCTAAAGAAGAAATTTTCATCACAGACTGGTGGTTCGTACTTACTTATTTGGGTTTTGCCCAGCCGCCTCAGGACATTCCCAACAATTCTGCAGTGTTCAAAGGCCTGACAGTATGGAAACTAGCCGTGCGGCCAGATGGTTTGGCAGCACACCCAAACATCTCGCTGTGTTGTATTCAAAGGCCTTTTCAGGAGGCTTGGCAGCAAAAGCACATGCTTGAAATCAACAGCTTGGTTGTCCCTTTCCAAGGAAAGGGCTGAAAATTGCGTGAAGGCACCATCTGAATTGAAAATGTTATGGCTTCCATTGCTTCATCAGGAGTGTAAATCATTGTAAGCCCAAGGGACAAGAATGTCTTTTAGTGTGTAAGGGAACACGGACACTCATATATGCGACCTGTACAGTGCACTTCCCACTTTATTCTTCACTGTCTCGGGAAGCCTTGTGCCACCAAGGAGAGCCTCCGGGGCTCGGGGGTGGATGTAGTTTTGCTCTGCTCTCAAACAAGCCAGACAATGAGAGAGGGAATTTTGTAATCACTTTCCCAAGCTATGTGGCTGCTCAAGGACCTGCCTCTGCCCTGTTCTTAACTAGTTATTTAGTATGTTTATGCATTAGCATGGTGATTCCTGATAGAGGCAGGAAAAATATGCTCTTGCGGTCCCTGGGATACAGTTACGTGGCCAAATGTGGTGGTTTCTCTTTTGTGCTGCCATTGCAAAGATCATCAGAGGCCACCCAGGACCTTAGAGGAAAAGAGCAGACTCTAGAGCCAGCTCTTGGACTTCCTCTTTAGCCTTGAGCAAGTCTCTCCACTTCCCTGTCTCCACCTATAAAATGAACCTCTTAGGGCTCTTCTGCTTCCTGAAAGCCTTGGGAGGGTCAACTCTTAGGGTCTTAGGTAGGAATTAGTTTGGAAAACTAAATGGGATGTTATCCCTCGCTGAGGGAAACATGTTCCTAAAGTGACCACAGATAAACCCAGTGTTCCTGGAGCCCTGTGGGTAACATCAGGTAGGAATACAAGAGCATCACATGTCAGATGTGTTGCCTCTTCCTTCCCTCAGCGTTTTATTGAGACAGCAATCAGTTCTTAGCATACCTTGGGGTTGTAAAACTTATCTGAAATATGGAGCTTAAGATAAAAATGCTGCTGTCAGAGGCTTTTTTTTTTTTTTTGGATGTAGCAGTATGCTTTAATCAAGCACAACTTTTCTGTGCTCTGTATAAAAGTGAAGGGATGAAATTCTGTGACCTTGCTCTGCAGGAGCAACTCTGCAGAGACAAGATTGCCTAATCGTTCCTTGTAATCCTTAAAGCTATGAATCAATAGAATGTCCTGTTGTGAGAGCATGTTGTTTTGTCTTGAGGCAGGAAGGAAAATTCAGCACAAATCTGTGTTATTCATTTAGCTTAAGTAGCAAGAGTACTGAAATCCCAGTTACTTTTTTTTTGAAATCTGTTTATTTGTTTCAAATACACCTTGGAATTTTCTTTCTTTGCTGGAGAGTCCAAGTTTTCCCATTTCTACTAGTAATTTGGTCTCATGGGTTGCTGAATACTAAAGTGAATGTGCTGGACACATCACCTGTTCTCTGTGATGTTCCATGATTAAAAACAAAGCACCTGATTTTGTAGCGGATTGTCTCATTTTAGGACACTAGACTTCACATCCACTTGCATGAACTGCCTTTCTCTCCTTTCTGCATTGATTATTTAGGCTGATGCTTTGTTTGCAAACTAAGTGTACTGTGTTTTTCCACCCCTTTATATTTGTAGGCTGAGCCCAGAAATCTTCATGAAACGACCTGTGGTAGAAGGAAATCACTGGAGGCTGGATTGCATCCTCAAGCGAAAGGCAGTAAGTTAGCTGCAGCTTCAACCTTTGCTCTGCAGTAAGCCCTGTGCGTGCCCCCTTGTAGAGAATCATATATGGACTGGAGTGTTTGCACTGTTTATTTTCATAGAAATGAGAGTTAAAGATATCACAGAGCAAGCCTTGTTTCCCTGGACTTTGAGGCTATGTGTCTTGATTTGGCTTTGGAAGAGTTCAGAGGCAGAGTGCTAGATCCTCTGATAGCTTTTTCCATCCCCTGGGTTTGGGTGCTTTCAGCCTTGCGTTGTGGCTGCTCCAGCTCCAAGAGCCGTTGCCATCTGGCCCTTTCCTTGTGGCACACAGAATGCAGAGCTACTAAAGGCACTAAGCACTCGTGGTGGGTCTCGGTAGATGGTTTGTATGTTGCTGTGTTGTGGAGATATTGTGTGTCACTGCCATGCACCTGTGCTCCTGCTCTCTGAGCTGAAACTATAAAAGATACCATCAGTCTTCCATAAAGAAGAAAGGGGGGAAAGGGCTTCTGGCAGAACATGTGGCTTGATTAGGAGGAACAGCCTTTTGAAAAGGTGGAAAGTCAGTGAATAAACGCATATGGCATCACGTTCCTCTGCTGTGGAATCTGGTGTGGAACTTGTAAACAACACAGTGATAAATGTGACTTGGACTTAGACTCCTGTTTCCACTCATATGTTATCTGAGTTAATAAATTCTTGTGTACAGCAAGCAAATGCTTATATAAACTGGGATTCTTGATAAGGCTTTTTTTCCCTCTATTGTAATTTCTCTTTCTCTGCCATTCTTCCTGAACTAACAAGTTCAGATCTGCTGTTGTCCTGTGTCTTTCCTAGTGCTCCCTGTAGGAACTCCCTTGTGAAGCTCTGTGCTGTTGTGCATTCTCCTTTTTTTCCTGCAGTGATCTGATATATAACTCCCTTTAGTTCTGCCTTTCAAGATACAGCACCAGTGATCCTGCTTGTGACTTGTTTGGTTTTGCTTGATTTTTACATTTACATCTTCTCAGAAAACAGTTTATTCTATGCTTTCAAATAACCAGTCTGCATCCAGACTGGTTTTCAGCATGTTTTAAGGACATGAATGAGTCAGACCGAAAAGATGTTGCATTTGGGCTGTATTTCAGTTCTAATCCAACCACTGAAAACGCGGATGTTAGGACAGTTAGTCTGCCCCACACGAGCAGTGACTCAGGGAAGCACGGCCAGGTGGAGCATGGGGATCACTGATGTGGGAGAGGGCAGGAGGCTGGGCAGCAAAATAAATAAAACCAGTCATCTTGACAGTCGTCAACGACTCCGCATGCCTAGAAAAAAGGTTTTTTTTAATTCCTTTTTTTCCTTTTTTTTTCTATATTTGTGAGTGTCTGAATTTGTTGAATTGAAAATAGTCTTGTTTTCTGGCAAATGAATCGTGTCCATAGGGCATGCTCACTGGAAGAATTTGGCTTTCTTTGTTGTGTTGACACAGATTTTCCTGTGGCTACAAATATTTTTGTGAGAGTGAGTAATGTTGCCAGGTGAGTTCATGGAAACACTTCCCTCCTCCCTCATTTGTGGTATTTCTTTTTTCAGCAGGGCCTTCCTGGTGTTCAGGCTGGAGCACAGCTGTCCTCTGTGCGTGTTTGGGCCTTCCTTGTGTGGCCTCCTTGCAGCAGTGCACTGAAGAGCAGACTGTCACCATAGTTTGGAGACTCTCTAAGCTCTCAACAGCAGCTTTGTAGGAACAGAGGTTTCCAGTCCTGTGGAAAGGCCAGGCCCTTAGCTGAAGCTGACATACTCCATGGGAAGCTCTACTGATTCATGGCAGAGGAAGCTGCCCCAGTGCCTGAGCAACCTCAGTAGGGAAACACTTAGCAGTTTTGCCCGTGCTTTAACATAACTGTCTCCTTAGAAACCCTCCTGTAGATACCATTAAAATAACATAAAGCACCATCATGTCAGTGTTGCACATTCTGTTCTAGGAAGTCGCTTCAGCTAAAATAACTTTTTTACAGTAAAACCTTGTTTGCTGGCATCAGCTCAGCTGTGTCTCCTTTGGGAGAAGGAAGACAGGATGCTTCACAGGTGACATTGTCCTGCAGGTGCTTCTAGCTGTAGGTGAAACTCAGGAGAACGTGAACCAGCCTCAGTGGATAAGTGGAACGTGACCGTTATGGGGAGTGAATCGTCCTTGAAAAATTTTACCTTGAAAGCTATTTAAAAATGGGAACTCTAAGCACCACCTTTTGTTAGCTTTCAGATACTGAGCCCTTTTCTGCAGGCTCTGGAGGCTCTGAACAGCTTTCCTGAGAGGTGAAGGCTCTTGCACACTGTAAGATCCGGTTGCTGGAACTAGTAGAATGTAAACAGGAATGGTCTCAGTAATCACAGCCTGCATTTTTGCCCACAAGAACAACATGCATCCTTCCCCTTAGCTTTTTATTGCTTTTAAAGTGCATTATGTCCATTCAAATATCTGCATAACGTGTTTCTTTTAATTTCTAACAGCAACAAGGAGTGAGAATTTTTGTGATGCTGTATAAAGAGGTGGAGCTTGCCCTAGGAATCAACAGTGAATATAGCAAACGGACACTCATGCATCTCCATCCAAACATTAAGGTAACTGTGCACTGCAAGTACAAATGACACTTGCATTCATTTGCTCTTGATATTAGGAAGGAATGTCATGGTCTGAACTGGAAGTCGGCTGTTGTCACTATTGCAGTGGAAATAGTCTTTAAAGATTCACTCATACAGTGCTCACCAGCACTGTAATCCACTTCATTTCTTTTGGTTATAAACTGAACATAAGTGTGTTTAGTTTAGATTTGCCAAACCACCTATTCATCTGATTCACAAGAACCTTATTTCATGTGACAGATTAATGGAGTTGCATTAAATGGAAAATTACAGTTTGAGAATGTTGCTTCATATCAGCATTTCTGTTCATACATAAATGAAGAGAGTCAACACTGGATGTTTACATTCCCATCATAAACGAAGAGTGTTCTGCTCTCTGTGTTGTTACCAGCTGCTCTGCCACAGAGCAGAAAATGAATTGCGGGGCATAAACCGATAGATTATTATACTGTCTCTTGAAATTAGAGACATATAAATCTTCATGAGATATATATTACACGAGGGAGATTAACAAACTGCTAAAAGAAATAATAAATTTATTATCACCTGATTAGTTGTCCCTGTGAAGGGAAGCATTTGTGCACTAGCATTTTCACAGCATGACTGCACAGTGTTTGTGGAAGCTGTGTGATTTACTTGGCGAGTAGCCAGGTGAAACGTTATTTTTTTTTGCAGCAAGTTGGTCTAGCGGTTCTTCTCTAGAAATAAGCTGTAGGCTGTACATCTACAGGTGAGATTCCTTGACTGTGACCCTTTAATGAATGCTGCTGTAATTGGCTTTGGTCACATCTGTAGCTGTTGCTGGCCAGGAATATCTGCATCGCTGAGGAGCACCTGCTGTGTCTGGGCTGCAGAGGAGTCGTGTTGTTTCAGTAACAATAGCAGTGAGACCATTTGTGTGGGTGCATCTTAGAAAAGAGCCTGTGTTGTCGCTGTCATCTTGAGCAGCCCCAGAAAAGTTCAGCAGCTTCCAGGCTGAATGTTTAGACCCATCAAGGAGGTCTGCCCCACAGCTGAGCCAGGCAGTGGTTCTCTCCCCAGGTGATGAGACACCCAGACCACGTGTCCTCCTCCGTGTACCTCTGGGCCCACCACGAGAAGCTCGTCATCGTGGACCAGTCCGTCGCGTTCGTCGGCGGCATCGACCTGGCCTACGGCCGGTGGGACGACGACGAGCATCGCCTCACGGACGTGGGCAGCGTCAAGCGCACGGCAAAGTCGGCATCGACAATCAACTTGGCGGTGAGTGGCCTTGCTCCAGCTGCTGCCCCGCTGAGGCGCGCGCTCCGCGAGCGAAGGCGCCGCGGGCTTGCGGTGTCGGCTGGGAGCAACCACCCGTGCCAGTTTTTGACCCCAGCCTTGAGGCTAGGAGCTTTAAAGAGGAGTAGTAATGGGAAGAGGAAAATATCTGTCAGCTGAGTGACTCTTTGGGGCTAGATCCTGAAAAGGTGAGCCTCTGCTAAAGGGAGAGGCACCTGGGTTTCCTCCAGAGCTTGGAGTAGTCATTACCGTTTGCAGCTTTTTAATATTTTTTATTTATTTATTTTTTATATTTATTATTGCAGTTCTTAATATTTTTTATCTTAATTTTTTATCTTAATATTTTTTTTTAGCTATAGGTGCATAGGAAGCACTTATGGAGTGCTCCAGACTGCTGGATACTCAGGTCCCAAGCAGGTGCCTTGTTTGTTGGCTGAGCTGTTCTAATAGCCTGTAGGCAATTTAAAGCAGTCTGAATATATGGGGATTTTGAGAGGAGTCATAATCCAGAGTAAATTTATAGCTGATTTATTGAAGAATATACCGTTAGTATTAATGGGCATTTCTGTTAAGTGCATCCTTGGTACAGGTTCCCTCCCAAAAGCATTCATAATTCCTACTAAAGCTGAGTGAGTTGTGTCTTTGTCATGGAGCAAACTTTGGCTCCTGGTGCTTCTGAGCACTGATATGAATGATCACTGTAATTAAAGGAGACCTTGTCCATACATCGTCATCAGCAGTGTCCTGTGTCCTGTGTTTTTTAAGTCTGCAGCCGAGTCATTTGAACATATCGCCCTGGAGCCTCCAGCTCCGTCCCCAGAAAACCATCTGCTCCACAAAAATGCCGAAGATGCCTCAGACGTTTCCAAAATGAAAGGGGTAGGAAAGTCCAAAAAGTTTTCAAGATTCAGCATTTACAAGCATCTCCAGAAACACGGCATGCACCACGCTGACAGCGTCAGCAGCATAGACAGCGAGTCAAGTAAGTACCATTTTCAGCTTGGCTTTACCTAAACGATGTATATGAAGGGTGTGCGGAGGTGGGTGGGCGGGTGTACGTGCACATTCACATAATATCTAGGGTAATGTGTTCTTTGTAAAGAAAATAACTTGATGCAATCCTTAACTATCAGAATAATAACTGTGTTTAGTCAATATGTAAATTTGTGTCACTGCCAAACATGCAAGAAAAGTTTTAAGTGGATTTGAGTTTACTTAATTAGCAATTGTCGTGAGCCATCAGGTGATGTGACGTAGCCTGCGTGATGTCTAATATTTTTGTTGTTGGAGAATTTTTGTACCTTCAATGGAGAATTGAATCTTTCATATTTCAACTTGTGTTTAATATAACAAGTGAAACAACTTTGTAATGTGATTATCCTCCATCATGCGTTAGTGTTACCTAGGTATAATTCACTCTGCTTAAGCAGAAATATTCCTGATTTACCCACTTCCTAGGTGGAAAGACTACTCAACAGCTGATCATTTGAATGCAGCTTTTAATTCCACACATTGAAACCAGCTTCAAAGCTAAGATCAAAAGGGTCAGCTTGAAGTTCATTCCAGCGTGGACTTTTTACTGTGACATCTATTTCTGAGGCCTTCCATGCCTGAGGCTGTAAACTGCCTCAGCAGTTGTTATTCCCCATCCAGACAGGCTGCACGGTGAGAGTTATTCCTTTGGCAGGAGGAAGCCTCGCAGGAGCACAGTTTGCCCAGTTTGTTTGCTCATAGTTCAGGTCATATTGAGGTAGCAAAAGCATCACTTTGGCTGTTCAGGTAAAACACAACTGGGTAAGTCTGGTGGTCACTGGTAGTGTCAGCAAACTGGCATCTCATTTGAATTCCTGTCATACAAGTTGTTTCTAGACAGGAGCAGTAACCAGTGTGGTAGAAGTCGATGTGTGTTTTTGCTGTAAATGGAGCATCTTGACTTTCTGCAGGTTATTGTAACCCCAATAGAAGTCAACCGAATATAATCCAGAGTTTAAAACCCCATCTGAAAATGTTTCATCACCACAATGAATCCAAACAGGGGCTCACTGAGCCTCGGGAGGGTAAGTGGAGGAAGGCAGAGCTGCAGACCCCTCTAGGCTTCAGCTTTCACTGTTTTGCACTCTAGTCTTGGTGAGAGTTAGGTTGGGTTCCAGGGTCAACCTTCTCCTGTTTGTGTCATGCTCTCAACAGCCTTATCACCCCATCTCAAGACATTCTTCCAGAAACACCTTCTTGAGCATAAGTAAAAAAAAAAAAAAAAAACAACAGATTTACAATAACGAAAGTAGGTACAGTTGAGAAATTAACTTTAGTACATGGTTATTTCAGCAGTACTGGATTATTTACTGTGATGGAAGGGGCTTATCCCTGGAATTGGGAACATAATGCGTCAAGCTTGCTTTAAAATATCTAATGCAGAAGACAGAAGAAACAGCCAAATGCCAACTGCCAGACTCATATTTAGATGCAGATTTGGGCCTCCCTTTTGGCCCTTATTGCAGTTAATGAAAGCATACTTGATTGAAAAAGGAGTTGGATGCTTGTGAACATTGAGCTGTTCTCATCTCTGGACTGATGCTGGAAGGTGTTGAGAATACCCAGCTATGCGTGGATGGTTGGTAGATTATAGGGATATCTTTGATTTGGGGTACGGAGTGAGGAGTAGTTCTTCCACATCTTTGTCTTTTTAACATCTTCCTCTGAGATGCCAATTCTAAAATAAGCATTGCAAAATATTGGGGTGTAACAAGAGGAAGGTGCATTTGCTGCCCACGGAAATGGAGCAGTGTCCCCACTGTGGTCACCTGGTGACACCAGTCAGTGTGCAGCCCCCGGGACGTGGAGGGTGCTGCGGCTCAGAGCTACAGCCCATACGTTCTCATTGGCACATGCAGGGTCAGTGATTCCCCAGCTCCACCTGGACTCTCACTAGAAACTGAAGCTTTTGAAGGCGGCTGTGGGGCAGACCTGCTGCGTGGCGTGTGGGGCATGGCTTGGCTCCTGGGGGTGTTATAACAGCGCTGGCAGGGCTGGCTTCCTGTAAGCTATTCTAACAACTGCACTGTTGCTGTGCTGTGTTGACTACTAAAAGATTTTTAGCACTGTAAGTTTGGAATTCAGGATCTGTTTGTTTAACTGTAAAACTCAAAAAAAGACATTGTTGTTTGAGGGGAAAAAGATAAAAAAAAAAAAAAAGGTAGGTATGTCATATTCCCATACATATTTCCAGTAAGGTCAGTGACAGCAGGGAGTAGATTCACACCTGGTGCTATTTAGGTGTCACAGGATTGTGGAAAGACAAGTAATTATAAGATAATCTTTTAGTCCGATCCAGAGAGGATTCAGCATCTGCCTTTTGTTTCTTGAACAGAATTTTGTATATATAATCTGTCCTGTTTGTATGCCAGGAATACTAAAGTAGAGAAGAAAAATATTTTAGTACCTCCTTTGAAAGCAGCAGAAAGAATAGGCAGAGAACAGCTTCAGCTTCTTGAGACTGCCAAGTCAGTGCCCTTTGGCTGAAGCAAGTTTCTCACTGATGCTGTATAACTTGGGAACACGTTTGTGACATCTCCTTTACGTGTGGCAGATAAAGGGTCGATGCGCAGCCTGAAGACGGGTGTTGGCGAGCTGTTTGGGGAAACGAGATTCTGGCACGGAAAAGACTATTGCAACTTTGTCTTTAAAGACTGGGTTCAGCTTGACAAACCCTTTGCTGGTAAGTGCCTTTGCACTGGGCTTCATTACCTTCCCCCAAACTATGTCTTGCTGCCAGAAAGAAGCAGCAAAAATCTACAATTGTAGATCCAATTAATGCTGCTATGCTCTGTTGATTTGGGCTGGGAGGGTGTTCCTTGCACAAGTAAGTGTCAAGAAACCTGCCTGGCCATCGGTGTTGTGCTCCAGATGGCTTCAGTTTAATGAAAGGGGCCCCCCTGTGTTGCCCGTGAATACTGGTCTTTACCTGACGCGTTCTCGTGTGCCCCTAGATTTCATCGACCGGCACACGACGCCGAGGATGCCCTGGCACGACATCTCCTCGGCCGTGCACGGCAAGGCAGCCCGCGACGTCGCCCGCCACTTCATCCAGCGCTGGAACTTCACCAAGGTCGGGCCGAGGAGGCGGCACGTGGCTCCGGGTGCCCTCCTACCCGCTGCGCGCAGCGCTGCCTACACCGCTCGGTTTTCTCGCTCTGCTGTGTTTCAATCTCTCCTTTTTTGCCGTGGCAGATCATGAAGCCCAAGTACCGATCCCTGTCCTACCCATGAAATCTCAGGAAACTGCTAATGAGTTGAAGTACCAGGTGCCTGAGTCTGTTCATGCCACAGTCCAGGTGGGTGTTGATGGTCTGCTGTTCACATGCTCCCAAAGTGAGCCCTTTTTGCATCTTTCCAGCAGATGTTTAAAAATATAAAATGAGGCACTCTTACCCGTTTTAGCTTAGAACATGGGTGATGAGATCATCAGTTAAAATAAAATAATGGGACTGTCTCAGTAGAGCTGTGCTGATGTACCCCTCCATCGTTGGAGATAAGAGGAGTAAACCACATGTGGTACTCAAGTAGTCGGAGCACCACAACTGTGTAATTTTCTGTTTTGTTTCCTGCTCCCCTTCTACTAACACCTGAAGTTTGTTTTTCTGCTCTGGAAAGGCTGGTGGGATGGTGCTGGCCAGGGAGTATTTTTGCAAGATCTGAGAATAATCTTCCAGGCCCCAAAGTGTTCCTGGGGACTGGCAGCAGTCAGCTCAGGACCCGATGTCCTAGGAGAAGTGTCAGGGCTTTTGGTTTCTGTGTTGAACCTACTTATATTTTATGCAGTGGCTCCTCAGTCTTGTGGGTCCTGAGCAGTTCTTCAGTCAACCCACAGTCTCATTTGTATTAATCATCCTCAATACTCAGAATTATAATGATGTTTTTATTTAAAATGCTACTAGCTATGCTGTGTGCATGTATTGAATATTAGTGTGCATGAGGTGTGCATGGACTTGTTGAAGATTACAAGGTTAAAATAGTGATGTCTAAACAGCAAGGCATCTCTAGGGAAGAAAGATGAATGAACTAACAGAGATTAGATCAAAGCAAGGAAAATACGTGGCTTTTGTGTTGGTAACGAGTGGCCCACCCAGATGACAGCAGCGCTTGGGGAAGCTTTGATTAACAAGCTGTGTGTGTTTGGGGTTTGTGGCCTGTTCGTGCTGTGAATGATGGTTGGCCTGGGCGTCTTTTATCATCCTCAGATTGTGTAAAAGAATTATGTGCATTTTACACCAGCCCCCAAACATTGCTTGCAGCTTGTTGAGAAATACGCTGTAACCCCAGACACCATCACGTGCTCAGGAGCTGGAAGTACCTTCTGGGCTGTCTGTGGCACCAGTTCACTGGGAAACTGCTCTCCTGGAAGCAAGGAGTCCTGTGTCCCCTACATTCACTGTAACTGCAGGACTAGCATTTTAAATCACAGGTTTTGCTGTAGCCAAGAAATGCATTAAGTTCTCCTCATTACAGAATTAGGAAGTAACCAAGGGAGGAATGAAGCTGAACACAGACCTGGATCCTAGACCAAACTTTCCTTAGGCCCCCATGCCACAGAGCTGCTACCTCAGGAAGGAGGGTGAATACAAGTGTGTTCCCCCCTAGCAGAGCTGAAGTGGTGCCTGGTAGAAACATATACATTAATGTGACTGGTGGTGAGCTGTTTGAGAAGTAGCCTCGAGATGACATTGTTGGGAAACTGCTACAAATAACTGATACATTCCAGGAAATTGCAGTCTGTTCTCAGTGATGCCATAAAGAGAAAAACAAGTGCAGGTTTGTCCTGTGAATTATTCATTTGAAGCTTCCTGGCTCGTTTCTAATTCGCGAGCGATTGCAGCCCTTGGAGACCCGTCAGGGCAGCTCTATAAGCTGTGTGGCTCTACAGAGAAACCAAACGACCCGTGCGAGGTGCTGGAGATGCCCGCGCTAACGCTGCTGAGGCCGGGGCGTTCGTGCCACGGGGGCTTGGCTAAGGGCCCGGTCCCGGGGCTGCTGCTGCTGCTCCTGGCGCCGGTTTGCACGGGCTGGGTTGTGGCTGCCGCCTTTGGCGTGTAGCCCTCTCACTGCCCTGAGTTTTCATTCACGTGCCGGCCCCTTTACCAGGAACCTGGGGGAGCCCCAGGAGCAGGAGCTCGTGCAGGGAGAGTAATGCAGCTTTCCTGAGGCACCAAAATGCCCCGAGCATCCCTGAAGCCCCCGCAGCAGGTGACTTCCGTGGTGCTCTCGTGTCGTTCCTGCTGCTGAAGATTTCAGGTCTGACTTGTGCTCAAGTGCCACGATGTGGAGAGGGGAGGACACGTGCGGTCTGAGCCTGACCTCGCCGCCCCACAGCCCCTTTTCTGGGGGCTGCCGGGTTGTGTGCCAGGCTGTGCAGAACAAGCCCGCAGCAGCTCCTGTGTGGACACTTCTCCATGGACAGAGCATTGGCAGCTGAAGCCCTTCAGCCCTTCAGCTGAAACCCTGAGGTCTGGGAACGCCTTCCCAGAAGTGACAGGCAAGTGTGGGCGGCCTGAGTAGGTGCAGTGAAACTACAGGAATATTCTTCTTTTTGATACCAACTCTTTTATTGGGACAGCAGCCAAAACTATAAGTGTTTGGTATCTCTGTTGTGGTGCCGTTCAGAGACTTTATAAGTGACTCTCAGACCAGCAGTAACTACCCCAAGGTGAAATCCAGCTTCCAGACACAGTGAACAGCCCTGACTGTAGGGCCCTTCTAGAAAATCTGGCAGCTGATTTTCTTTTTTCTGAACTTGTTTGCAAATCTGTCTTCAATTGTGGCAGATCAGAGGAAGAGAAAACACAAAGGATCTGTGGGGGTTGCAGTATTACTGCAGGCTCAAGCAACTGACCTGTCACCAACAGATTTTGGGGTTATTGTGCCATCTGTTTTTGTTTTGCTTTGTCAAGGAGAATGCCAGAAAAAGAGTGTGTTAAGGAGGCTGTGGAAGAAGATGGGGGAAAGCAGGAGCAACACTGAGATGAGATCCCACCTGGGTGGGAAGAAGGAATATAGTGCTCATGGGAAGGTGTGAGCTAGGAAGGAAGAAAAGGCCTAGTCAGCTTGAAGGGTTAGTCAGACATCCTCTCATCCTCCTTCCCTTGAACTTCGGGCTTTGCAATAGCAATCCAATTGCACGCTGATTTTGCAAGGGCAAATGATGTCGTGCCAAGGGCATTTTTTTTTCCAACTCTTTCCATTCCACAGTTTGCAGTTATCAACCAAAGAAGGCGTAACAAAGCATGTGATGTGGTGAGACAATACCTAGTTCCTGGTGTAAATGCAATGAAAATGTAATGCTCTGTCAGTGGCTAGAGCCCTCGCCTCTTTGAAGTGTGTGTGAGAGCCTGCATTGTTCAGAATTCATGCACTAGCCCACAGCAGACAAATGTTATTGCTGTTGGATGGGTTAAGCAAGTGGAAGAGGCGACAGGCCCAGCGTAGCACTTGGCAACGTGACTGTGGGACTGCAGTGAGAGAAGAAAAGAAGCACCAAGACAACTCCCTTATTTGTAGGGGCTGTGTCAAAGCAGCTTGTGACCTTTTCTTCCTGACGTGGAAATAGTTCTGGTTTAAACCAGTTCACTTAGTGTAGTCTGATAGCAAAGGGGAGACTTGCAGGAGCCATGAGAAAATATCAGTGATGAGAAAAGTTCAATGTAATAATCTTCAAAGCTTAAATGTTGCAGTTTCAGCTTCATTTTGTAGGGGCTGCGTCCAGCAGCCTCAAGATGCTGGTGCTGGTGGCTGCGGAGGTCTTGTCCTATCCCAGACACCCACGTGCCCTTCCCGTGGTGTCACTGTGGCTGTGGAGCAGCACTGTGATGGTGGGGCTGCTGGAATGATCCAGGTGTCGTGTCCCATGGCTGCTTCAGCTTGGGACAGACTCCCCTCCCAGCAGTTAGGCTGGTTTTCGAAGTGCAAGGCACCGGCAAGCTCACAATTAAGACAAAAGGTGCTGATTTATTCCTTGTGCCAAGCAGAGCTTCAGCTAGCGCTACCGTAAAGGGAGGTGTGGAAGTTCCTTTGCTCCATGCAGGGCTCAACAGCTTCTCTCCAGAACACAAGTGGCTGTTTTGGCAGCGTGGACAAAGTTCATCAACCAAAAGTTGCACATCAGCGATTCCTACACTGCAAAACTCCTGTCTGCAGCCTTCAGGAGGGCAATTCCAGATTTTAGCTCCTTCCCACACGGGTGCTGCTCCAGCAGCCCCCACGTCGCTCTTCTGGCCCAGCCGTCACAGCCTTCTGGTTCTCCCAAGGGACCAGGTGGTGAAGCTGTACTAAGCATCATTCTCCAGTATGATTCTGGGTAGCAGGAGAAGGAATAGCTTATTTTCCCTTCAAGAATATTCCTGAACTTAAAAATGAGATCCTTGTTTTCCAAACCTTGCTGCTTGCAGCCGCCTCCATGGCTCGGGTCACAGCACAGGCTGGGTGTGAGGTGAGCTTGGAGGAAGGTCACTTGCTGCATTTGAAGTGAGCAAAGGTCTGTTTTTACTTCCATTGTGATTAGTTTTGTTTGATCTGGTTGTTCTTCCTCCTGCCTATAAAACATTTATGGGATCACCTGAAGGACAAGTCCCAGAGCTGGAAGCAGCCCAGAGGGGAACGGTTGTGGTGCCCAGTGGGCATTAGGGCTCAGATCGTGCAGCTCTGTGGCCGTAAGAGGCAGCACCTGAGCCATCACCCTGCTCCTCAGCAGCCCTTGCGAGCTCTGTGCACCTCCGTGTGCTGCACGGAGCTCGTGTGGCCTCCACGGGGAGTTTGACTCTCTCCAGGTCACGCAGCTCCCTCTTTATCCTACATCTACCAGGAAAACACAACTGGAATAGTCGTAGTTAGGGCTGGCGCTCTGTATAGTGTCCATCAGCTCATCCTTGATTTCCATGGCCATCTTGCTCAGGCTGTGGCTCTTGCAGTTGTGCAGCACTTACGTGTTGTTCTTTCCAGCCTCAAGTGAAAACGGTGCAAGCCCAGAATTAGAGCGAAGGAGGGATCCCAGAACCAGATGTGCAGTCCGTGCTGCTCGCGCGAGCTGGCCGCGCTCGCTGTCACACTGCCATGGGCAGTGCGCAAGCAAGGTCAGCCAAGCTGCAAACATGAGCCAAACCTGGCCCGTTTTCTACCCCAAGAGCCTGTGGCGTTGCTGGTGGTACTCAGCTATTCCATACTGCAAAGCCCCAAGTGAAGGCTGCTCTTCTCCAGCCAAAGGGTTGGCTAAAGCCACACGGGCACGAGCCGTGCGCAGACTTCGGGGCAGGAGGATCCTACTGGGAATTGCACTGGAACAGGCTGCCCAGAGAGGTTGTGGAGTCTCCTTCTCTGGAGATCTTCAAAACCCGCTTGGACGCAGTCCTGTGCCACGTGCTCTAGGTGACCCTGCGTGTGCAGGGGGGTTGAACTAGGTGACCTCTAGAGGTTCCTTCCAACCTTAAGCATTCCATGATTCCATGATTGCCGGGATCCCAGCCGGCAGTGGCTCGGTGCCAGCGCAGAGAGGTGCTCGGCAAACGGCGGAGCTTCCGTGGCTCTTAGCACCTGGATCTTACCCTCTGCATAACAGACCTGCCTGCTGGTAAAATGGTTCAGTCAAGATGGCTTAAGGCTGCTATTATCAAAGGCAGAGGCTAGTGAAGAGTAATTATTTCCCCTGAGCATATACCCAAGCAACACTGAATTAAAAATTACATTTTCCATCTTGGAAAATGTCGCTTGAGATATTGTTTCTTGACTCAAAATGCAGGAATGGGAGATGCTGTAGCAGGGAAAGCTCTTCAGTAGGAGCTGGCTGCGACGGAGACAGGAAACGGCCTGCAGTGGACATGGCGAAGCATGATGAGAATATGAGCAAAGGTTGTTTCTCATATTAGTTTGGCTCTCTTGCAAAAAAGCTGCGGGAGGCTGGGTGAAAATGCACTCTAGGGATCTTGCAATATCTACTTTGAGAGTGGACTTATGGTAAAAGTAAATAAATAAGTCTGGGCAGTTGAATTAAAAAGTCAAATAATCACAAATCTGATGGCTTTTGCAAGGATTTGGCAGAAGAAATAAATGACCTTAAGTGTTCGGGACAAAGACCTGGCCTGCGTTCCTGGCCTGTGTGTGTATAACAATGTGCTGTCTGTCTGTGGGAAAAACATCATTAATTCAGCTGGAGAATTTTTAAAAAACTTGCTGAAGAGGATATTACTGGACATGCCCTCCTAAAGTAAGGGGTGACTCAAGCTTTAAGCATTATAAAATCAGTTTATTGTAAGCCCTTAAGAACAAGGTTTCTTTTCTCCCTTTCCTATTCCAAGTAGAGTTGTTCAGGTAGAATAAGAAAGTAATGCAGCAATGGGACAGCCAGGGTCATTATGTTTGCTTATTAAGACAGTACTAATACCATTAACACTATTTTAAGCTACTTTTACCCTCATTATAAGAGCTAAATGCAGTATATGTTAATTTATTTAGTCAAATCCTGACAAATCGTTGCCTTTTCCATGTGCTCGTTGCGATGCAGTGCCACCCTGGATGGGGCTGGCATTGAAGGTGTTGATCTTGCTTTCCAGGTGCTCCGTTCTGCTGCTGACTGGTCGGCTGGCATTAAATACCACGAGGAATCCATCCACAACGCCTACATCAGCGTGATCAAAAACAGCAAGCACTACATCTATATAGAAGTGAGTAGATAGGAGAGAAAGCCCTGCCACCCTGAGCGTGGCTTGCGGCCATCAGCAGTGTGATCCTTTTCCTTACGGTTTGGGGGTACCTTTCCATGAGTGCTGGAGCATGGATATTAATAGAATCCGTTCTGAGACTCGGGAATGGTTTCCCCATGGGAAGTGGTCTCGGGAGCAGGCTGAGGGGTTACTCTTGTGGTGAGCTTATGACCATAAGGTGGGAAAAAGTTGGCCTCTCTCTTATGATTCTCTTGCCAGACTTGCCAGCAACTTCCACGGCCTGTGCAGTGGTCGTGTAGTCCCTTGATGGCTTGGCTGTGCCCTCGGTGCATGCCCCAACCCACGCATGATTATTTAATAAGGAATATTTTCTTTCCTGGATGGAACACAAACACATATTTAATTAAAAAAAAAATAACATCCATTCAGATGACACAGAGCACAGCCATCTTTAGTTGTTCTTGGCCTGGAGTAGAGTAGGGAAATATTTTCTGTTCGTCCCTAGCAATGTCTGACAGAAGCTTTGCTTGCTTTTCCTGCAGAACCAGTTTTTTATTAGCTGTGCTGATGACAAAGTTGTCTGGAACAAGATAGGAGATGCAATTGCTCAGAGGATTCTTAAAGCTCACAGGTAACCTATTGTTATCAAGCCAAAGAGAGACTTCCAGGTGCATTTAGAGAATGCGGTTTAAAATAGCACCTCAGCAGACACAACTGTACAATTGTTTCTCCAACACAGCCCCTGTGTGATGAGAATTATGCTCCCTTTGCAGCACTGAGATTCTGCAGTGGTTTCTTTGCAGCCAGGAAGTGGTTTTCTGGACATACCCTGATGCAAATGTAATTTCTAGCTATGCAGATTGTTGGCAAAACGAGCCTTTTATTCTGTGATTGAAACACACTGTTGTTCCACAGGCAGCCAGTCCGGAACTGGGGAGTAAAGCAAGCTGATGCTGAAATGGTTGAACCTGAATATCTGGGTTGTTCAACTGGCTGGACTGCAGGCTACTTTAAAGCAAGGGAAGCAAACACGTTTTGGGGATTTGTCTGCAGAGTTCAGCTGTTCCTGTTTGCTGTTCTGACAAGTGCAGGAGGGTATTTCCAGCCTCTGGATAGTGCAAGGCAACTGTAGTTAATTCCATAGATGGATCAAATCCAAACGTTTTGGACATTCCTTTCACTTGAGAATGCCCAACGTCATGTTAACATTAAAATCACAGGTAGTGGCTTGTTCTCCCTTTGATCCCGGAGAGCTTTACTTAAGGTGTCTCTTCTGGAATCAGTCTTTAAAATACATATATGTCATATTTGAAACTTCCAGCTAGGTCTTGCTGGGCTGATGTACAGAAAACTTTATAAATTTCCTTCTTTCCTTTCTCTTGCACTTTTTTGCTGTGCCTGGCTAAGTTTCTTGCAATGATTTTCCATATTGTAGGTGGCCAGAGCTCACAGGCGCTGTGAAAAGATAAGCACCTTTGAACAGGGCAAGCAGGGGTGTTACCTGCTCTACACTTAACAGCAGGGCAGAGTATCAGGGTGGAGTTACTCTGGCTGTGATCCATGGCACAAATACCTGAAATATGCTAAGGATGAAAAACCAGGGAGGACTTTCTCACCTGGGGTAAATCAGGAGTCGTTCCAAGGCTGCCAAAGGTGTTAAGTGACGTAAAAGCAGCAATAATATGAATTAGATGTTGTGAGGGTGATATGGCACGCACCAAGAACGGTATTTCTGACCCTTCGTGGATGAGGTGCAGTAGCCAAGCAGTTGGAAATGGCTGATTTTTTAATAGAAAGACATCAGTATTTATTACCTGTCCTCAATTAGTTTAATAAACACTGGGCTTAGACAGACAAGCTGTTTCTTGTAGGATGCTTTTGGTGGTGGTTCTTTTACATAGTACAAGTAGGCTCCATTTCAGAGTCTTTCCTACATCCCTCTGCTGCCGTGTAGGGGTAAGATTTAACTGATTCTGAAGTCTGCTGTGAAATTAACTTTGTTGCAGTCCGTAATGCAGCTATAAATAAGCACTAACTCGAACTGAATACATACAAATCTTCAATATCTTACTCCCAGATCAGGTGAGACACCCTTCTCTACAGATCCTGTGCTTTTAAGGAAAGACACAAATTTTACAAGGAAGAAGTTTAAGAAAATTTGCAGACTGGCTCCTCTTCTTCCTCTTGAGTGTTAAGCGGTTTTGTCCTTATTAAACTGTGTTTGCCATCTAGTGGCAGCACCACTAAGTGACATTTCATCCTCCAGCGTGTGGTAATGGGGACTGCCAGCACCTGGAGGCATCTGGGGAACTGAAGAAGAGCAGAAGCAGTTTGGCCTTTCAGTCACAAGGAAAATGCTCCTATGTGCTCCAAGAAAGGGCCAAGCAGCACCGTGATCTTAGCTGCCTTAATGCAGAACTGGCTCGCAGTTGTGGTGGAGTCTGAACTGGGGAAACAAAGATGAAACGGAGTCTTGGCAGGTTGTTAGATATGAGTCACCTATTTGATAGCTGGCCTTGCCGAGCAGTCAGTGTTTTGCTTGTGTCCGCGGGGCTTTTTCCCGACGTTTCTGGTTTCTAAAAGCCACAACGTGGCAGGAACCCCAGGCCAGACTGTGGTGTCCTGCCGGACACCGCGCACAGCAGCGGCGGGACGGGCGCTCAGGTGAACTGCAGCGGTGCCAGGTGCAGATGCAGGTGATTTGCCTGACCTGGCCCTGCTATGAGCCGTTTATTTCCTTATTTCTTCTCTCCATGATCATCTACACATTCTGCTGAAGGGCTGATTGGAGGTGCTGAACACAGTCAGTACAATCCACGCTTTGCTGCCGTAAAATCTGCGCGGGAGCCAGAAGCCAAGCCAGGCAGTCTAGGGAAACCGAAGCTGCTGCGATTCTACCTTACTCGAACAGAGTTTGCAGGGTAATATTCCCCCTAACTGTTGTTTTAGGGAAAACAAACGTTTCCGAGTGTACGTGGTGATCCCGCTGCTGCCTGGGTTTGAAGGAGACATTTCGACGGGCGGCGGGAACGCTCTGCAGGCCATAATGCACTTCAACTACAGGTGAGACACGCAGGGACAGCAGGCCGCTGCCCTTGCTGCCCTTGCAGTTTGTATATTGCTGTATTTACTTTGCAGCAGTGACCTGAAACTGGGGTTGTGTTTCTGAGCTGCCTTTGAGGCCTGCAGCTACCTGTTAAGCAAATTCAGATGATGCACAGGGCCCTTTCCTGGAATGCAAACAGTGGCATTGTTTAAAGCAGGAAGATTTGCGGTGATGGTTTTCTGATCTTTGTTAATAGCACAAATCCATGGTTCTGCTTTCCTAGCTTTTGGACACAGCAGCAGAAAATAGACAGGGCTTATGGCAGTTTTAATAAGTATCTCTTGTTAGGAGACTGTAGCCTAACCAGGGGAATCTATTTGGTCAGACTCAGTGCCCTCTGCTGGCAAATATTAAATAGACACAAGGAGAAAATTCCTGTGCTCCGCTGTGGCATCCCTCTTCCTCCTTGTCTCTGTGGCCTTAGGCAAAAGCACCAATTCCTGATTCAGGAGCTGCTCCCTATATGTAACATAAAGCTGCAAAATATGTTTTCCTTTTTTCTCGTCAGACCAGAATTTAGTCAGCCTTCCAGCTGTAATGTTTCTACCCTCCCATTCAGTATCACTCCATTCAGTATCACTGCTAGAAGCTGAACCTGTCCCGTGGTTTCTCCCGGCGGTTTCAGTCGGGCTGTGACAACGTTGACTCTCTGCAGTCCCTGGAAGTCCCCACCATTCCCAAGGCCCTGGCAGTGCTCGGGAAGAGCAACGTATCTCACCTCGTCATTGCCAGCCGGAGGCGGCAGCGCGGAGGCCGCTGGGGTCGTTAGCTCCAGAAATCCCCCTGCCCCATAAGGCAGAAACGCTCAGTTTTATTTCAGAGTTTGCGTTTCTGCCCGGTGTTTCCCATCGCTCCCTCGCTCAGCACCGCAGAGGCACCGGAGCGTGTTCCCAAGCCCGGGCAGCAGCTGGAGCACAGAGCAGGGCGGCCGGGGCGCCGGGGAGCCGCGCGGCGGGGCAGAGCGCGGGGCGAGAGGCGGCGTGGCCGGAGGCAGCGGGGTCTCACTCCACAGCACTCCTCTGCTTTCCTTAAAAGCAGCTCAAACCTCAGTAGCCCCATTGGTAACCGCTTCTTGTCCTTGCTGCTTGCTTCAGGAAAGGGTGGTTTGCCCCATGTAAGTTGATTAGTATGTGGGCTTGCCAGAAAAAAAAGGAATTCTTACATATTAACATATATTTTTGGAAAAATGTGTGCCCTGGAAGTGCTGCTCTACTTATGTGGGGTACGGAAAATGCATCTGGGTTTGTGTTTCTCCTCACTGGATGAGTTCTGCTTCAGCATGTGTCGTTGCTTCGAGGCACTGGTGTTGGTAACAGCTGCCTACCTTCTTTCCAGGACCATGTGCAGAGGAGAAAATTCAATTCTGGGCCAGCTGAAGGCAGAGGGTAAGAGCTTTGGTCCTCTCTTGTTTCATGTGTTTAGTCTTGGGACACTGCTCGATAGAAGGATCTATACAATATAAATCAGATTGGCCAAGTGCAGGACTATATAAAGTGCAATAGGGAGTGCTGTAGCTGTGGCATCTCCAAAAGAGGGGGAGACACTCACCAAAAGCATCACTGCTTTGTACAAAATATAGTTAGGCAGCAAGGCTCTATCTGCAGCTCCTGTCCGGGCACAACGTGTGTTGTGGGTTTGTTCCTGGGTTGTGTTTATTGCAGCAGATGCATTTCAGGTTTCCGGATGAGGCGTCCATCGCAGCGGTGTGCAGCAGGGTGTGTTACAGACTGGCACATCTGCTGAGCAACCCGCCCCTGTCGTTAGCCAGGGCTGGGGTTTCGCAGGACGTGCGAGCCCTGGCCAACATCCAGGCTTCCTAGCTGGAGGCAGCCCTGATCCGGGTGAGGGCAGGAGCCAAGGGAAGGAGCACGGAGCGGTCGCAGCTGCCCGGGATCATGCTGGAACGGGGCCTGAGCTGGGCCCTGCTGCTGGGGAGCTGCAGGAACCCCCTGAGCCCGGAGCTGTGCCAGGAACAACCCTCCTGGCCGCAGCGCTGCTCATGGAGCCGCTTCCCCACGCGGAGGGCACTCGGATTTCTGTCTGGGAAAAACACGGATCGTCAGTGTGCGAGGCGAACGTAATGCCTCATTAGTTCTAGTTTTTGGTGTAAATCTCAGCTGCAGACAATTCACATTAGGCCGTACTTTCCAAACCGTGCATAGACAAAACACCTGCTAAAAGGCTCCTCTCTGTAAATCCTGCAGAACAACAGTCACATTGGCCAGTTATTTTCAGATGTTCGTAGCAATTGCGAGTACTTGTGTGCTGCATAATAGAGAGATTTGGGTCATTTTTCCATCAAGGTGAAGTATCTAAGCAGGCAGTGGATCAGAGCAGCACAGAGAGCCCACAGGCACTTTAAAAGCCTATTTTTGAAGAGACATACCTCTATTATCTGTCCCTTAAAAAAAGATGTTAAAAATAAACCCTGTTATTCATACTGGACTTTATACAAAGAGGACCTCTTTCTTCTTTGCTTCCCCCTTCCTCTTCCCATCTCATTTTATTCTCTTTCAATTTTCAGTTGGAGATAAGTGGATAAACTACATATCCTTCTGCGGACTGCGGACATATGCAGAGTTGGAAGGAAAACTAGTCACTGAACTCATCTACGTTCACAGCAAATTGCTTATTGCTGATGACAACACTGTCATAATTGGTGAGCAGGGCACTTGCAGAAGTCTGTGCTGTTGATTACACCTGAAATCTTCCCTTAGCTTCCTTGGAATGTTCTTTTCTGTGTTATGATTTCTTCCTTGTGAAATGTTTTGCAGTTAAATAGCAAAGTCATGGACTAACGAAGAGGTAGGCAGGAGGGTGAAAATGATTTGGAGGTCTGTCATTTGCTTTTTAGTTGTTTTAAATCTCTATGTAATAGTTGAGAGATTCCCAGTGGAGGGAATTTTGTCCATCTGTCTTGTATCAAACTCTGCTCTAGCAGTAAAACTTGTGAGACTTGTCATCTGTTCCTTAAAGAACAGAATGTGCCGTAAAATTTGGAAGGTTTGGACAACGTGTCATTTATCAGCGCCATCCCCTAAGAATGGGGAAATATGTCGTAACAATAATAAGTAGTTTTGATTCTGACTCTGTCCCCACATTTATTGTGAGATGATAAAGCAAAAAGAGCATGGGCTCTGAGTTACAGTAAGAAAGCAGAATTTGAGCCTGTTTCTTTAAAGAAACGCCCTTTTTTTTTTCCGATCTGTTATATCAGGGCAAACTTTGCCAAAGAAAAATTTAAGGCTAAACTTTGCAAGAATCAAAATGTCCACTTCTCCCCAGAAGCGTTAGCTGCTGTGCAGGGTCCCTGGCGGTACTGGGGGCTCTGGGTGTTACTTACCCACAGCCAGAAACTGCTTTGCCCCTGCCTTGCTGCAGGGTAGATGGAAGTGACCTTTTTCCTCTTAAATCCCCCTTTCTAAAACCTCCTAGTCTCCAAATACTAATGATACATTTTCCCTACTGACGTTAGAAGACATTGAGAGGTTGTACTCACAGAGCCCGTCCTGCTCCCTTACGTTATTATCCAAGCCAAATGCTTGGATAGGAGTTAAGACCCTTGAATGCTGTGATAACATCCAGCAAAAGCACCTGGAAAGTTGCAGAGAAATTAAACTTTTTAAGATGTTGACATTGGCTAGAGTAACACCTTGTCTTGGGCCTGGGGGCATCAGCAGGCTGCGAGGATGAGAGTTCTGCTCTCACCCTGCTGCTGCCTCTCCCAGAGCCTGGGTTCCTCCTGCGAGGAGGTGCCGGAGGAAGGAGTTACCCTGGTCAGGCCTTGTGTCACAACCCTCACGAGTGGCTCTTGCCGGGGGCTACCGGGATTTACGGTGGCTGCTTTCCTTCCTTCCCTCCCTCTGCCCGCTCCAGGCTCAGCCAACATCAACGACCGCAGCATGCTGGGCAAGCGGGACAGCGAGATGGCCATCATCGTGCAGGACACGGCCACCGTCCCCTCCGTCATGGACGGCGAGACCTACAGCGCCGGCTGCTTCGCGCAGTCCCTCCGGCTCCGGTGCTTCAGGTGCGGCCGCTGCCATCCCTGCAGGGCAGGGAGAGCCGGGGAGAGCCAGGGAAAACCAGGAATAGCCAGGGAGAGCCAGGGAGAAGCAGGGAGAGCCACGGAGAGCTGGGGAGAACCAGGAATAGCTGGGGAGAGCCGGGGAGAAGGAGGGAGAGCCGGGGAGAAGGAGGGAGAGCCAGGGAGAAGCAGAGAAGAGCTGCGGAGAAGCAAGGAGAGCCGGGGAAAACCAGGAATAGCCAGTGAGAGCCAGGGAGAAGGAGGGAGGGCTGGAGAAAACAAGGAATAGCAAGGGAGAGCCAGGGAGAAGCAGGAATATCCAGGGAGAAGTAGGGAGAAGCAGGGAGAGGCAGGGCCGGATTTACACCCGATGAAAGGGGTCGAAGCCGTTAAAGCCAGTGGAGCTTCGGGCACTCACTTAGATCGAGCTTTGCCTGGCCTCGATTTAGCTCGGGCAGTTTTAGCGCTGCCTCCTCGCGCGTTCCTCAGCTCAGCAGCTGTTTGGCTCAAAAATCTTTTTCCTCCAGCATTTAACTAGGAGAGCTCATAAACAAGGCAGTGATATTTTGCCTCCGGACCCTCTTTCCACACTCTCTCAATTTTGCGTGGTGGCGACTCTCTTTTTAGTGGAAGTTTGTTCACTCGGAGCAACCATCTGGCCCTCAACACAGACATTTTTTCATTAAGGCCTTCTTCTCCCCCTCCCCTTTCCCATCTGGACAGTTATTAAACAGAAAGAAAAGAGAAAACAAGGCAGCTGCGAGGCTGACAGACCATGGTAGGGGGAGCAGGGAGGACGTTCTCAGAGCACCCTGGGATGTGCAGTGGCAATTTGCAAAGAAATTTTCTCTTTCTTGGCATTTCAAGGTGTTGAACCCACAGGGCACGTACTCCGCTCTCGTGGCAATGCCTTCCTCATACTTCAAATAGACAAATTTTCATCCTGCCCACTGTTTGCCTTTGGAAAACCTGCTGTCCTCTACGGGATGGCTTTTCCATCCCTGATGGGCAATGCTGGCCACTCTCAGGTGCCTCTGCGCATGAGCCAGTACAGGAAGGCTGGAAACTTCTAGGCACTATTGCAAACAAGTAATAATAAAAGTAATAACTTTTATTTCAGTTTTAGCCTCAACTTTGAGGTGTTTTTGAGGTAAGGTAATTTAGTAGCTGCCTCTGGCATCCTCTTATCAGCTGCTCTTGTTTTTCTTCTGGAGCAGAAGATGAGAATAATGTTTCCACACTCTCGGCTTCTCTTGGCACAAATTCTCTGCTCTTTTTTCTTCAGGCTTGTGCTTGGGGTGTCAGATCTCAACTCAGACCACCAGGACCCGGTCTGTGACAAGTTCTTCAAGGAGGTGTGGGTCGCCACAGCAGCCCGCAACGCCACCATCTTCGATAAGGTGACACTTACGGCTCCTCTTCCCAGTCTTCTTCCAGCTTCCTTGTTCTCAAGAGGTGTTTTGGGCCAGAGGGGACAGGGAAGGAAAGTGACTTCAGCTCCTAGAGCTGCTCAGGGATGTTTTGGTAGAATGTTTTGTTTCAGTGACATGCATAAGCTGCAAACAAGAAACTGCAGCTTGTGTGCCCTCAAATAATGCGGGCAACCCAAGAAGGGGCAGTTCTGATTTCTCCTTTTACTTGTACCAGCTGTAGCTCCAGTGAATCACTCCTGCTTTACTTCTTCCAGGTGGCCACAGTGTAAATGGAGTTGAAGTAAATTAGTTGCTCTGTTTTCCAGTGATTTTTTTTTGAAGTTAACAGAAAAAGCCCTGCAGTTTGCCATCCTCATGCTCAACCCATATGATGGATCTGTGCATATTTTCTCCTTGCCTGTTTTCCAGACCATTAACTGAGTCACTTCCACCCAGAGGCATATTTATATTATAGTCTGAGGTTCTTCTTTGCAGTATATTGCTATATATATATATATAGCAATATATATATGTTATATATTTGCAGTATATTGCAATAGTATATATATTATATTGCAGTATTTCTTCTGCTGTCACACATCACCTCTTCTTTCTCTTTGGATCAGGTTTTCCGATGCCTTCCCAGTGACGAGGTGAATAACTTAGCCCAACTGCGTGATTTCATCAGCAAACCCAAACTAGCCAACGATGATCCTGTGAAAGCAGCAGAAGAGTTGAAGAAGATTCGTGGGTTTCTGGTACAATTCCCCTTCCGTTTTCTGGAGGAAGAATACTTGCTGCCTTCTGTTGGAACAAAGGAATCCATGGTACCGATGGAGGTTTGGACTTAAGAAGATTGAGACTGCTTTATATTTTAAACTCTAGTTCTCAAAAGAGAAGTTTATGAACAGTATAGGATATCAGAAAGCTTTTTTTTTTTTTTTTTGCAAAGGGAGGCAAAAAAAAAAAGGTCTCTGCCAAACTAACGTGCCTTTCGTAGAGGTTTTGGTGGAGGAACTTCAAGCAAAATGACACTAGCAAAGGAGAGGATCAGAAAGACTTGGAATTTATGACAGATGAGAAGTTTATTCTCTGAAGAAGTTACTACTTCAGACAATTTCTAAGCACCTAAAGGACTGAGGCTGCTTCCTAGGAAAGGAAGCAAATCCTAATACACGTTGGTACTGCTGCCAGGGTGGTTGCAACGTGCAGTGCTTGTGCTGTGGCCCCGCAGGAGCCGCGGGACGCGTGTGCTCCCCCGAGCTCCCAGGTCCCAGCGCGTTCGCTGCTGCAGCCCCTCGTCCCATCCCGGCTCGGATGGGCAGGAACCTTCCCACAGCTCCGGGGTGTTGGGAAGCGCCGTTCCACGCTGTCCCGGCGTTCCTGTGCTCACGGCTCGTCAAGGCTGGATGGTTCGTTGCTTTTTGGGGAACAGACTAACAATCAGAATCAGTGTTTTTGGTCTCTTCTCCCCTCTTGGCAGGGGGAAATGTTTTTGCTCCAGCTAGCGCGATCAGCAATCCTCACCAGACTCAGCGTGGTGCTGTGCAGATCTTAGCAAAGTGCAGCCTTGATGAAGTTCAACGTGGCAGAAGTGGGGAGTTTTCTGGTTTTTACAGACATGCAGCACATCAATTTGTTTAAACTGCAGGAAGGCTCCAAGAGAGAATCCAGCTTCAGGCTGAAGCCTCAGATCTTCCTCGCAAGAGGGAAGTGAGGTGCCATGTGGGACAGGGAGCAGAAGTTCAAAAGCTGTCCTGGCCAGGTTCAGTCTCTGCTTTGGATCCCTTACCTTCACATTTATATTGCTTTAAATAATAGCCTTTCCATTCTCTTTTCTCCCTATCTGAAAGAAGGGAGAGCTGAAATGTCAAGCCAGCTCTGCTCAGCCCAGGCTGACATCTTTTTTCCCTCTTTTTTTCCACTTCGTAGACTGAGGGCAGGGGAAAGGGGAGAGCTTGTCTCTCTGATCTGCCTTCTCACGCGACGGGCCACAGCTGGTCACGCAGAACGAGTCTTCCAAGGGCAGGTGAAACTTAACACGTCCAGCCCTGTTCTGCATTTCCGTAAGGCAGCTCCAAGGCAGTTGTGCATCCCGCTGGGCAGTGACTGAGTGAGACGTTTCCTGCATCCCTTGGCAAAGCCCCTTGCCCGGCTCTGGGTGCCATCCTCCGTGCCCTGCGTGTCCCGCTCCCGTGTCCCCACTGTGTCCCAGCTGCCTGCTGCGGAGCCGTGTGTCCCACCAGGGCGGGAGCGCCTGCCAAGCTCTAGGAGCCCTGTTCTGCATTTCCGTAAGGCAGCTCCAAGGCAGTTGTGCATCCAGCTGGGCAGTGACTGAGACGTTTCCTCCATCCTTGGGCAAAGCCCCTTGCCCGGCTCTGGGCACCATCCTCCATGCCCTGCGTGTCCCGCTCCCGTGTCCCCACTGTGTCCCAGCTGCCTGCTGCGGAGCCGTGTGTCCCACCAGGGCGGGAGCGCCTGCCAAGCTCTAGGAGGAGAAAATTCCTAACGCAGGAGCCTGGTTGTGAATGTGGGAAGCTGAACTCCCCTGCACTGAGCGCTGCAAGGGGGATCCCTTTGCTGGCTCCCCTGCAGATGTGCTCCTTAGCCCTGTGTTCTCAAAGTGCCCCATGTGCTGTAGTCAGGAGACCAGACGAACTTATATTTCCTTCAGTTTTTAAAGAAGTGTTCATAGGGAAGTTTCTTTTTCCCTTTGTTTGAGCTTCCAACAGTCTTTCTTGTTTTTAACTGGAAAAGAACCACACTGTTCCTCAAGGTAACCCTAGAATGTGTCCGGCACCATCTCTTACCCTTTAGCCAATTGTCTTCTGCATCTTACATGTGAGTAGAGTGATTTTGTACACAGTGCTCTCTGAGGCAGTAACAAATACACAAAGACACTCCCCAGGGCTGCCAAGGTGTCACCCAGCTCCACGGTGCTGCTTTTATCCTCGTGTTTTATCGATGCAGTTAGGAATGACGCTCCTGAGGCTGTGCTCCGCCTGGAAGTGCCCGCGCTGCCTTCTCCCTGGTCACCTGGGTTGCTCCAGGGGCTCGCGGCTTTTGCCTGGTGCGCTGTAAATAGCTCAGTATTTTCCCTGGTTATTTCCCGTACAAACCTGCCCTGCTGCTGAGCGCGAGCCACACGTCGTGCCCTGCGCGTTTGCAATCGAGATCGACGGCGTCGGGTATTGCATGTTAGTGCTGCCTGCTCCGGAGTTTTGTCTCCGGATGGGTTTTTAGCTCTTCCAGTTTGAGCAGTGCTGCTACCTTGAAACAACTACAACCTCTGGGAGCTGCCTGAGGGAGGCAGCTCTGTGCTCACCCCGGGACAGGAAGCGCTCGGCCATGTCCCTAAGGAGCCTGTGATTTTTGTCATCTTTCCCTCCCTGCCCCACATTGCAATCATCCAAGTGTCCTCGTGTTGTCCCTTGAGGTGGTGGTGGGGTTTGACATTCTGGGGCAATAACCCCTTCTCCCAGGCTGCTTTCGGAGACGCCTCCGGAGCCCGGCCCGGCTCCAGGTGCTGCTGCTGAGCCAGGATTCCTTTGGGCTGCTGCACGGGGAGCTCATGGAGCAGCTCTCTGGATGGCACAGGAGGGCTCGGCCACCTCCTCCGAGTGCCGGCGGCGTCTTGGGACCACGGCTCTTTGCCGTCAACTGGAGTTTGCTTTCTTATATTAAGAAGCCAGTAAACAGGGTGGGGTTTAACCCCTTGAGAGAGTTTCGTTCTGTCCCTGAGCAATCACTACTTAGTACCACCGCGTCTTGACTTGTAGCACGTTCACCGGAGCGCAGAGGAACCGCTTGGAAATGCACCGTGCTGCCGCTCACGCTGCGCGTTCCGGTGCCCTGGAGCGGCCCTTTCTCATGGAATTCACTGGTTGGGACTGCAAGAAATGAAATTTCCCAAAGGCTCTACCTTTTTTTTCTTGTGTTTCAACCTGATATGAAATCTTTTTTTTTTTTTAATGTATTCCTTATAGATACCACTCACACTCCTTACCACATCCATCTTTATATATTTTTAAATATTGTGGTATTTTAATATATATATTTTGTTGTATAATTTTTTAGTGTGGAATTGGTGCATGGTTTAAACAACAAAAGAGGGATGGAATGACGTGGTATTTCAGGACCTTGCAGTGTGAGATGTGCTGGAGCTGCCCGGCGGCGCCTGCCCTCTCCAGCTCCCCTTGCTGCGGTCGTGTCGAAGGGGCCTTGTCCCCAGCAAGCCAGTGCGTTTGTCACCTAGGAAGGGGTGTTGTAGCGAAGGCAAACGCGTGGAGGTTGGCGCTGGTATTTGGTAGTCGCTGTTACAAAGCCAGCCGTGCCCGTCAGCGGTGCGAGCGCGTGCAGGAGGAATCGTCGTGGCCCAGGCCAGGCAGACGCAGCAGCCACTGGGGGAACTGCCTGGCTCGGCGGGGGGGACACACTGCATGTTCTTCTGATCAAGGCTGGGAACACGATCACAGTCCCGGTGCCGTCCCCGGTGGGGACAGCCGGTGAGGCTTTGCCTTAGGTGGGACCCTGTGGTATTAATTCCTGGCATCTTTATTCCTGCCAAGGGAGCATCCATGCACAATCAAACCCCGTCTCGGCTTGCTGCTGTTCTTTGAGTGTCATAAACCGTTTTGTGCAGTTGTGGTAAACACAGCACGGGCTGTGTGACCTGTAGACAGAACCTGCCCTTGCGGCCGCAGAGAGGAGCGTCCGAACGGGCCCTTTGAGGAGCAGTTCCCGAAGGGAAGGTGCCCAACGGAAGGGCCCCGGTGTCGCCGTCGGGGCTGAGCCTCCTTGCCCGGCGGCGCGGCTGGCCCTGCGCGGGGGCGGGGGACACGGGGCTCCTTCCCTGCGCCGCTCCCGCCGCCCTGCTCCTGCAGGGCTGATCCCAGCAGGCGCTTTCCTGCCGCGACGCGGAGCTCCTCCAGCTGGGCACAGCTCCATGCAGGGAGCCGGGCTGAGCCCAGGGGCGTCCGAGTGGAGCAGACCCCAAGCTGCAAACTGACTCCTCGATGCAACCATCCTCTCTGGGTCCTTTTTTTTTTTTTTTTTGGTCTACTTTACTATTGTATTTTAAAGTCTTGGTGATTATTCTATTTTTAACCTCCCGATGTGTTTTCCTAAAATGTCACCGGTATAAATAATTCTTACCCGACTCCTCCCTGACCCTGAGGAAAGGCGAGCAAGCAGTGTCTACATTCACGGTTCCGGGTGTTCCTGTGTCTGGCTAAACTCGCCCCCAAGCCGAGCGCTTCGCTCCCAGCGCGCGCGGGGTCCCAGCCCCGCTCCGCCTGCCGCGGCGCAAGCGTCGACCCCGACTACTCCTTCTGTGAAGGCTGCTGGACTCGAGCGTTTGGCCCCCGGGTTCTGCTGGTCGCTGTTTTCCTTTGCACTCGGTTTGTATTCGGTAAATGAATGTGCATTAATGGACTGAAAATACAAGTGAATGTCGTGTGTCAAAGCACGTGGGTTTGGTCTCGTTTCTCCTTGGTTTGGCAACGGTGGCTGTGGGCCACGTTCCGGACGCGTGATGGGAGAAAAGCTGGAGTCGGGATAAAAGGGCTTCTACAAGTTGTTCAAAACGTCCCGAGGAGAGGAGAGTCTGAAGGAAAAATCCGCAGGAAGAGGAGGCTGAGCTACATAAACAGATAAACAGATGTGGGGAGTTGGGGGTGTCCTATCTGCTCGCAGTGAGGCTGTGCACGTGTGGGGTTAGGGACTCCCGTGCACAGCCGCAAGGTCGGAAGCGCAGAGCTTCGGGAGAAAGGTCTCGGGGCGCACGGAGAAACGGGCTACAACCACTGCCCAAAACCTGTTCCCGTTCCTGCTCTCTTTCCATTCTGCCATGCTGGAGTGAAGGTTTGAGGAGCTCAAATTCACAGCGGCACCGCAAGTGAAAAGCTCATTTTATTTATTTATTTTCAC